AAATTTTCAATTCTATACTACAAAATTATAACATCCAAATCATAATTTTATGTATATTGAATTGTCTAAAATTATATTTTTGTAAAATTTGAACAATTAAACCAAATATCTCTATAAATTGTTATCACTATAAATTAATAAAATATCATGGTCTCAACGTTATTTATTTATAGAAGTTTTACTGTAGCTTAATCGTCTTTCGAATCATGAGTCGATTTTGCTGTAGAACCCATTTTCGTTGTTGTATTTATAATATGGAATTTCAATTATAATTGGTTAATAATTAATGGAGATTAGATTGATAATCATGTTTTCTGGGTCTATTAGGACATTGCATTGATAATTAATGAAATGTAGTGGTTGAATCGTAGATATTAGGCCTGCAAGTTCTATTATTCGGGTCGGGTCGGGTAGATTTTTTGAGTTTTCGGTTATTTCGGAATCTGTATATTTGTTCGCATATCACCGAAATTAATTTCGGTTCGGTTTGAAAGCCGGTTAATTCGGTAATTCACAATCCTACAGAATTTAATTGAAAAAAGTATTATCAAGGGAAAATCCCAAAAAAAAAACCTCCAAGTTGAAACATTTTCCTAAGTAAAACCTCCAACTTTTTTCGTTCCCATATAAAACCTCCAAATTGAAAATTTTCCCAATTAAAACCTTCAACTTTTTTCGTTCCCAATTAAAACCTCCAACTAATTAATTTTCTCTAAAAAACATTCAATTCGTCAAACTTGAGCCCTATCAATGGTTGACCAATGATCGCTGGTAATTTCGTTCAGAATAGTCAATAGTCGTTGACGACATCTATTTTTCGTTTATTTAGTTTCCAAAATTTTATTTGAACCCTAAAAATTAGAAAAAATGTATTATAGGGTTCGTAATTAAGATTTTCATCTTTTCTATTGTAACTAACACATGTGAATTTTGAAAACTAAATAAACGGAAAACATGTCGTTAAAAGCCGTTTACCGTTAGTTAATCATTGATCAGGCACAAATTTGACGACTTAAAAGTTTTTTTAGAAAAAATTATTTAGTTGGAGGTTTTATTTGGGAACGAAAAAAGTTGGAGGTTTTAATTGGGAAAAAAATTCAATTTGGAAGTTTTATATGAGAACGAAAAAAGTTTGAGGTTTTAGTTAGAAAAATGTTTTAATTTGGAGGTTTTTTATGGGATTTTCCTTATTATCAATAATAATTCTTCTTATAATTACATGTTTTAATCATCAAATTTGCCTCGTTATGTTAAACAAGTCGTTCACAAACTACAGCTCGCATAACCGTGAAGAGGATTTGGGAATCGTGGAATATTTGTTGACGCCAATTGTTACATTCAATTAGGGGTTTAGTCTGCATATTGAAGCTGAAAACCATTTGCCTAAACCTATGTTCCGTGACCATGTAGAATAACATCATGAAAATTAGTAAGCTAGCAAACTACAGCTAGAGGTTGACGAGGTAGATAAAAGTGTGGCCATCATTGCTAAGTCCAGACCAACGAACCAGCATTTCTTCCGTGCTAAAAACTGATAAAAAAATTACGGGAAGATATAGCGGATTCTGCGCGGCCGGATCACCAAACGAGAAAACTAACGTTAGTCTTGGATATTTCATTATACAAAAAATCGATTAATTAGGATATTAGTTTATGACTTTGAAAAAAATCACATTTAATATTTATAGACAAGAATCAACAATATTATAGACTAGCTATGTAAATAGGATTATAGAAACTTTCCTTGTGAATTGACTGGACGAATGCAGGAAAGAATTGGTTATAGGGACTAACCTTTGAAATAAATAAAACCCTAATTTGCTTATAAATTTTAGCAATACATTTTCATATCATATTTTTATTTTATTTTAAACTATTTCACTATCTTCTCTTCCTTTTAGGTTTTTTCTTTTTCCTCTCAATCATGATTCTCTCTTTTCTTCTTTAATTATTAATAATAATATTTGTTTATGCAAAATATAGATTTATTTACAAGAATATCAATAATCTCAGGCTATTGAACTCATATTTCATATCAACTATTTTTTTTTGCAAAGAATTCATATCAACTACTTCATCATAATTTTGTCCCTTCACATTTTACAAGTTATATTTATATTTCATTTTTAGCAAATCACATAATGAAAGCATAATTTCTTTGTTAGAAATGTAGCAAATTCATCCAACTTAGAGATATAAAAACATCATAAATATTTTTATGTGCTAGATTTAACTATTGAACAATTCTACTATAAAAAAAAATGAAATAATACATGTAAGTGAAAATATTATTTTATGTTTGTGTTGGCAGGTGGATCTAGAGAGAATTTGCAATCAGGAAAAAACTCATGTAATTGGTGAGACGTTGTAAATAATTAACTTTGAAGAACTTGTAAAATGAAAATAACTTTTGTTAGTTTTGAACTTCTCAAAGTCGAAAGAGCTTTTGTTCATCTGCAAATATCAAAAAATACAAGTAATAAAAGTTTAAAACATTGATTTTTTGAATAACAAAAGTCATTTAGATATTAGCAAATAAACTTTAGATAAAATCTTGCATATGAATTAAATACATATATGTATCGGGAAAATATTTCTAATCATCTCCAAAAAAAAATATGGGTTTCATTCAAAGAATTGATTTTTTTATCGAACAATGTACCATTTTTAACCAATAATGTAACGATTATAAGAACAACTAATATAAATTTCCTATTATGTTTGACAAAATGCGTTTGACTATTTTAAAACTAAATTTACCAATTTTCTATGTACTTTACATTCCTAGCGATTGAGAGTTGTTGATTATGTATTTAATAGTTTAATAAATTTCTGTTTAATTCATCACCTTAATGCAAGTGGAAGTTTAACATAAATAAGCTATTATGTTGAGTTTTACTATGATTTTTATTTGTAAATTCTATTTTAGTTATTAACTTATGTTGTTATAAAATAAATGATATTCATTTACAGCGGTTGGCGTTTGAAATAAATAAAACTTTATTTTACTTATAAACTCTAACAATGCGTTTACATCTCATATTTCTATTTAATTTAAAACATGTTTACTATCTTCTCTTCTCTTCTCAGGTTTTTTTTTCTCTCAATCACGATTCTCTCTTCTTCACTTTAATAATAATCAATGATTTTTTTTGTAAAATATGGATTTATTTATAAGAATTCAGACTATTAAACTCATATTCATATTAATTACTTTATCATTATCTTGTCCTTTCACATTTTTCAAATTGAATCAATATTTTAAATAAATAATTAATAGTCAAATATATGTTTATTTTACATGAATAATTTTTATAATTATATTTAATTGTGTAATTTTGTCAACAAATGACCAAATAAAAAGAAAATTTAATTGTTAACATGAATAAATTCATCAACTTAGAGATCAAAAGTATTATGATCATATTTTCCTTTGCTAGATTTCACTACTATCTCTAAGCATTCTCCTATAAAAGAAAAGAAAATATAGTTAAGTTAAATTATTATTTTATGTTTGTGTTGACAAGTGGTTATAGAGACAATTTGAATTAAAAAAAAAAACTCATTTAATTAGGAGATATTGCAAATAAAGCTCGAAAAACTTCTAAAAGTAAAATTATAGCTTTCGTTCATCTAGAACTTCTTGAAGTCGAAAGAGTTTTGTTCATCTGCAAATATCAAACAATACATGTAAAGTAAATTAAAAACATCGATGTTTTGAATTAAAATCATCATTAAGATATTAACAAATAAACTTTAGATAAAATCTTGCATGCAAATTGAATAAATATATGCATAAGGTAAATATTAATCTCAACCCATTTAATTTATATATCATATTAATTACTCCATCATAATCTTACTCCATCAAAGTGAAATTTATGTTTTTTTAAAGGCATTTGCAAAAATACTTTTTTCTATGCCTTTTTTTCAAAAATACCCTCTTCTGTTGTTAATTTTTAAAAATATCTCATGTTATGTATAAAATGACTAAATTACCATTTTTTTGTGAAAGCAGATAAATACAAGGGAGACTCACAAAAATACCCCTTTTTCAATACCCCTTTTAAAAAATACCCCTTTTTAAAAACCTTATAAAAAATGCTCTTAAAAATATAAGATTTACCCAAATATGTATGTAATATTATTAAAACATACACAAACTACATTTCTATGTATCTAAAATCTTATAAATACTTTATAAATACCTTATAAATGCATTTTAAATACCTTTAAAAACCTTTAAAATATCTTGTAAAAGCATTGAAAAACCTTAAAAATCCTTTAAAATAACTTGTAAAACCTTTAAAAACACCTTATAAAACCTTATAAATACTTGGATCGAGTCTTCAAGTAGTAGTTACAATCCATAAGTACCTTATAAACCTAATAAAACTTTATAAAAATTTCAGATTTAAAAAGGGGTATTTTTGAAAATGGACATCTAAAAGGGGCATTTTTGAAAAGGGGCACACCAAAAGGGGTATTTTTAACAATTTCCCTAAATACAAAGTGAAAATTTATATTATCCTTCTTTTGATTACCTCTTTATATCCTTATACAAAGTGAAAATTTCGACATTTTTCCAAAAACAAAACACCAAAAAATGAAAAATCTTTGAAGATTTTTTTATTTTATTTAGAGTTTTCAATTATTAGACCAAATGCAATGCATGCTTCTATAATGATATGGGTTACAAGGTAACTTGCATTTTTGTGATATGGGCTTTGTTTTAAATCTTATTATCTTGGCCATAATTAGAGACACATCAAAAGTTCAATACCAATAAATTATAAACAAATGAAAAAAGAATAAAAAACAAATAAATAAAATGTGATTCCTCGTGGTTTTCAGTGCAAGCCTTGCAACGATGGAAAGACAGAAAAGTTGATTTTTTCTTCAAAATCATACTGGATATTGCTCTCACAGTGATTAAGATTCATGCTTTGCTTCTTGGGCTTCAAGCCTCTCCTGTAAAATATGATGCCGCCCCTAGGTCCACGGAGAGACTTGTGTGTTGTTGAGGTAACAATATCACAATAATCGAATGGATTTGGACTTTCCTACAACATTGACAGAAACAAAAACGTCAAGAGAATGCCAAGAAAAGCAGGCTAAATAGATATCACTGAGTAAACACAAAGATCATGTGCTTAAGCTTCAAGTTTAATGACTAATGCAAAAGAAAAACAATCCATATATAACGCAATATGGAAAATGAGAATGAACACACCTTGGCAGCGACAAGACCGCTAATCTGTGCCATGTCAAACATCAAAACAGCTCCACATTTGTCTGCAATATGCTGATAAGCACGTGTGGGAGCTGATACAAGCAATGAGGAGGCACATGCGAATACATGGGATAAAAAATCAAAACAGGTAAAAAGTGTTACACTGAGGAATCGAACTTGAGATACTTGTAATATTTCCATACCCTTGAACCATTAGACTAAAGAGACTTTTACTTAAATCTTGAATCTCATTGAATCTGAATTTCTCCTAAAAGTATTATATTGGTGTTAAAAAACTCATTTTTTTAATCTTTGGATTTCATCCTAAATACAGAAAAAATCAGAAGACAAAGATGTAATGGAAGAGGTTTTCAAAAACCCATAAAGCAATCGAGTGAGTGAAATTATATTAAAAACAAATGATTATTTTTTTTGTAAATCTTAGACTTGCATGTTGATTAGGAATATTTTGATGATCATTGTTGATTATGAAAATCACACAATGAATTTGTTTAAAGGAAGAGAACAAATTCAATTAACTCTCTTGCTATTTGTGACCAAAGACTCAAAAAGAATGATGAATTTTATTGCTTAGAGACAACGCTAGGGTTTAGCTCAAGAACAATTAGGGTTTTTGTGCAAAGTTGCTGATCCCTTGAATAGAGGACAAACCCCCCCCCCCCTATTTATACAAAACTAAGACGGTTTAAAGATATGAGAACTCGGTTTAGGCGATCTCCCGTCTTCGGACCGAGCTCGCCAGGTGACCTCCTTTCTCTGAATTCGCCAGGTAACTGAATTCTCAGATTTATTTGTAATTCGTCCGGTTTATGCCGGTATTGTCGGAGGTGCTAATTCCTGCACCAACAATCATAGTCTTGTGTTGTGACAACAGATCATTGGATAAGTCAGTTTCTATGCTTCAGAAGCAGCTCTCTACTACACATAGCTCTCAACAGATTCTGGATGCCACATCAACCAATTCTTCAACAGAAGGAAACCAAAGGAAGAAAGTTTTCATGGTTATTGGTATCAATACTGCATTTAGTAGTAGAAAACGTCGTAATTCGCTTAGAGAGACTTGGATGCCTCAGGGTATTTTGTGATGTCCCTCCTTCAAATTTCTGGTTCCTTTCATGCTTCATTGCCTCTAATCTTAGTTAGCTTTTATATGTAATCTATCACAGGGGAAAAGCTTGAGAAATTAGAAAAAGAGAAAGGAATTGTCATCAAATTTATGATTGGACACAGGTGAAAAAAATCATAGAATATAGTGAATGAATGCAATGTAGTCTAATGTGTGTTTTTTTAAGTAGACTAAGACTCTTACTTGAATGTGATTGCAGTTCAACGCCAAACAGTATATTGGATAAGGAAATTGATTCAGAAGATGCTCAATACAAAGATTTCTTTAGGCTGGTGAGACCAATTCTACAAACTTGATTCTTCTAGGATTTGGATTACGATTTTCTTGATTTTTTTTTCGGGAATTCTTTTTAACTTTTGCAGGATCATGTCGAAGGATATTACAATCTATCTGCAAAAACCAAAAGCTTCTTTTCTAGTGCAGTTGCAAAGTGGGATGCTGAGTTTTATGTCAAGATTGATGATGATGTTCACGTCAATCTTGGTACCAAAATATGTTTCTAGCATAATGTAGTGGAGTATGCAGATCAGTCGATAGAATGTGGATGGTTCATGTGATGTGTGGCGAAGGTGATAAAGCTGTGTGGGACGCGAATTTAAAACTCTCTTAGATCGGAGAAAGAGACAAGAGGAGATGAACATTTTGTTTTGTAAAGAATTAAAAGGTATACAAAATTAGCTTGCTGGAGAAGAAGCTGAGGAAGACCTTTTAGTTCAATATTTTCTTTTCGTTTGTGGAAAAATAAAAATTAAAAAGAAAGAATTAGACATTCTATAGATGCAGACGTGACAAACTTGCTTCTTATACACTTTTTCCTCAATATGAAATTTCTATTTCTTAGTCATTTTTGAACATTTGAAAGCAAGAGTCTCGTATACTCTCCTATCTCTCTGGTTTTGTGATTTCGAGTAATCTAACTTGCATCAACATCAGCAACTTGTACAACAATCACAATCACTTATGCAACTTTCTTAAATGTAACATCATTTACCTAAATTCTCTGTTTTTACTCTGTTTTTTGTAAGCTTAAAAGTTTTGAAAAGTGGGAACCCAAACAATATAATTTCTGTCAATATATTAACCTTGAAACCAAAAAAAATAAAGACTTCGACTACTTGTGCAACTAAACTAAATTCTAGAGCTCGTTTCACCCAAGTACTAGTTCATCTAACTCTCACATGGTAACTTGAAACTGCACAATGGTCAAACATGATTGTTGGCAAACAACTCGAGGATACAACTATCGTCAAACTCGTGTCCACAAGGGTAAGGTCACAAATTGTGGGAGCTGGACTTCGTCTTCTTGTATAATTTCATTGATATAGACTGATCAAGGGCAAACTTACTTGCCATTCTAAATCGAATATCAGTGGTGCTCTGTTAGAGCTAAGAACCAATTCCAAAACTAAAACCTTTATTAAGATCAGCTTCTCGTCTTCCTCCTGGGGTCATGGTCAAAAGACTCTCTCTAGTCTCAATTGTGTTTGCAGATTGTGACATGTACGAGTATTTCTCGCTGCCCTGTTCTTGAGTCCTACATTATATATGTTGATGTTAACAATCCCCTGGCTTGAAATGGGAACGTCTTTAGCCCTTTCATCAAGCGACTCACCATCTATCACGATTGCCCCGATCAATCAATTTTGCTTAGTTAAGGATGTCTTCCCAGTGAAGACAAGGTTATGCACAAACGTTTATGGAGTTTCAAGCACATATACAAACCGTTTACACAGGCCCAGCCCATATCATAGGCAAATGAAGCAATGCTTAAAGCCATCATAATTTTGGAGACATATTTTAGGTTTAAAACTTTTAAGCTTTTTATAATAAAAGAAAATATTATAGGTTTCTCTTACAAGATTAATTTTTGTTGGGTCGTTTTCAACCATGCTTGTAGATTATTAACTTAACAAAATTTTAATTAAGTATGCTATTAATTTTTTATTTAGTAAGATTCTGGTTTAGAAAAAAAATCTTCTAAACAATGGCTAAGTTTAACTTTTAGATTTTGTTTTTATAGGATCGATAGTGAAAGTGGCATGTGGATGTGGTGACAATTGATTAAGAACAACGAGACAGAAGACAAATACTAATCCCCGAAACTATACTATGTCGGGCGAAAAAAGTGCAAGCAATATAATAATTAATGGTTTAGATTATAATTATTACACTTGTTTTGTTTTGTCTTTTGTGTAAAGAATGTAAAAATGTTAATTAGAACTTGTTTGAGATTATTGTTAATTTTCTAATGGCTTTGCTATCAATTGAGATAGCTATAGTCAAGAAGCTCAACTACGTGAGATTAATGGATGATTTTGCAGGAAAAAATACAAAGAGAGTAGCTAAATTTCGTGAATAAAAGTTTTTATACTTTTTTCTTTATTTACAAACTGTTTTATGGAATTAGAAAATATTTTTAAAATTTTAATGTGACTTTTGTTATATTAATATTCTCTCTGATTTTGCATATTAAAAAAAAGTCACACTTCTTTTCTCTTCGTATGACATATGAAATTGTTGGATTGGCCTTACCTTTACTTGAGACTCGTACTCTCACAACTGGTTGGCAAGAGTTTGTCTAATGAAAAATTAGGTTGTGGGGGACTTTCTTGTCTTAGTGGAGAAGATAATTATAGTTGGAGTTAGACGGGCCTTTGGAAGCCAAGAAGAGTCTCAAATACAAGTACCGGTACCAAAAAGACTCCTAGTTAACATCATTTGGGTAATATGTAATCGAGGTTCTCTGAGGCTGACATAAACTTCCTAGTACTTTGCTAAACTCTTCAAGGTTCAAATAGTTCTTCTTCCCATACTCACCGGGCTAGCTCTCCTAACAGGAAAACGAGTGTTATCCAAGATGCGGTCTCTCAAGAACACCACGACATCACCAACTTGAACCAATTTTTCTCTCACAAAAGAAGCCCAATCATGAGTCAGTAGCTATCAAAAGACTCTCTCTAGTCTCAATTGCGTTTACAGATTGTGACATGTACCAATATTTAATCTCTCGTTGCCCTGTTCTCGGTCCGGATTTGGTAATTTTTTCCTTTTTTTTTTCTCCTATTTGCATTAGAAAAACAAAATTTAAAATTTTGTACTAAATAATACACAAGCTCACCGCATATGTAAATATGTGTTTTTTTTGAAATATGTTTTTTTTGTTAGTTGTAAATCCTATACCGGGTGTTATAAAAAAAACATTTTCGAACCAAGCTAGGATATACAAACAAAGGCAAGATCTTTTTGGTAAGGGGATTTGCGACTGAGGAGGCCAACGATGTATAGTAGGATAAAGCAAGAACAGAAGCGGAAGATGTAATATTATTTACTAAAAGACATAAATGTTTTTTTTTCATGTGAAAAAATCTTATATATTTAAAATATATACATTAAGTTTTAGATGAAATTTTATTTTTCAGTTAGGTTCAATTGTAAACCCTATACCGGATCGTATAGAAAAGAAAAAAAGTTTCGAAACCAAGCTTGAATTGAGGGACGAAGCAAGTGGTGGTAGTATTTAAAAAAAAAATGAATAAGAATAGAAAATTTGATACCGAATAATCTGATTTTGAACCGAACGAAATCCGCAATATGTAAAACCAAACCAAAAGATAAATAGTCGACTATGACTGAGCCTTATTTTCTACGAAACCCGAAGCGAAATAAATATTTGTTATTTGATGGGCCTATTTTCTAAAATCAAAAGAAGCAGAATAACTCGAACCGATTTAACCGCCGAATACACCTTAGAGCATGATTAACGGTGGTTTCTTAAGTAGTTCTTAGCTTTAAGTTGCTCTAAATTAAATTGAAAATGTTGAATAAAACTAAGGAACGTTCCTTAGTTAAGAGATATTTTTAGTGTTAAGAAGTGCCACATGTCGGCTTATGAGTGGGTGTTTTCTTCTTTCTCTCTCTCATTTCTCGATTTCTCCAAACAGAGAAAAATCGGAGGCAGTGGAAGAAATCACGACCGCCACTACATCCGCCGCGACGGTGGGATTGTGAATCCACTTAACAATCATACACAATCAGAGCATCAACAAGAAGACACGACTTCAACGGATTCATCATCCGCTGCTTTTCCCGTCTACTTCTCAGCCATTTAAAAACCTCGATCATCCTACAAAACCTTCGAAATCTCACCGGAATCGGCGAAGTCGTGTTTCAAATTCAAAACCTCGTCCCGTGGAGAAATCGGATGTGAATTTTGCTGAATCCGATGTTGTAGATTGCTTAGCTGGTGAATTCAGTAGCAAAGGTGAAACAGAGCTCAAATTCGATTACGGAGGAGAAGTTTCATCACAGTTCTGGTAATCATTCGAATTGTGAGGAATTGGAGGTGAAGAGAGCTGAAATTGAAGAAATTGCTGATGGTGTTGATGATGTTAATGAGTATGAGAAGAATGAAGATATTATTTTGACAATTCTGAAAGATTTGCGATCTAGTGTCATTGAGCCAGAGCTATTCTTCTTCGTGACATCGTTGTTCTTCTTCAATCCGGTCAAGATGCCACAGCTCGAATCAGTGTATTTCACTACTGCTTCACTTTTTTAAGAGGTTTCCCTGCAATTTTCAATTCGATGAAGATTTTGCTTGTTGACAAATTTAGGTTGAGCATGTGATAAGGGAACAGAACATTCAGGCAGCAAACGAAATCATTGAGCTTTTCTGTGAACTTATTGTTGCTCGTCTCACTATCATCACTAAGCAAAAGTATGTTCATATCTACTATCAGTTTTCATTTGTCTCTTTACTTTGCTTCATTTTTAGTTTTATATATTTATGTGTTTGGCTCTCTTTTAGGCAATGTCTTGTGGTTTTGAGATCTTGGAGACATCTTAGGTGACTAAAATCACTAAGAAGATTAAGTTCCAGAAGAGGTTTTGAGCTTGAATGTGTTAGTAACAATCTTGTGATTATATATCTAGGTGTGGCATGAAGATGCATATAATCAGTAGTGATTAAGATTCATCTTTTCTTGTGATGTCAAAAGTGAGAATATCACCTGCATTTACATGCGATGCTTTGTGAATGAAGCTTCTCTGTGATTGACAATCTGAGAGTAATATGTTTTTGTCTATATATGATTCTAAGTTCTAAGTTAGTGTTGTGCTTATTACACTTAGCCATACGTAAGCTACCAAATGAGTGCTAATCAATAATGTTTGTTTGATTTCAATGGAGTAAGTAAGTGTGACTGATGATGCTTTTATGTTGTTTATGTATTCTTGGTGATCTATGTGTAAACATGTGTTGCAGGATTGTAATGAACAAAAATAAAGAGAACATTGTGCCGACAAAGAAAGATAGTCCATTTGGAAAGCTTAAAGAGGATCTGTTGATAGATTAAGCAAACAATAACTGGAACACACTTGACTATGAGGTGTTGAGTGACTTGCGTCATGTTTATGGGCTGCAAATGATATCTCTCACTATCTCTCTTCTTGTTCGTTGCTTATATATAACATATGAATACAACAATCTCTACTCTTCTTTGTATCTCTTTACATTTGTAAGATTTTAGGGACGAAATCTGGAGATGCATGACATAATATTTATGTCATAATATTCATGTCTCTTTAACTTTATTTTACTCTGTTTTTATATTTCTTAAATGAATCATATTCATGTCTCTTTTAACTTAAACACCAAATGAATCATATGTCTTGTAACAAAATGAATCATATTCATATCTCTTTAACCTAAACACAAATTTCATACACTTAAACTTTTTTCATAAACCAATTTCATACATTTAAACTAAAATTAATTGCAACACTTATTAAGTTTTCTAAAATTAAAATTGTTAATTTAATTTTATTTTTAAATTAATATTTCTTTTTTTAAGAACCACAAGTTAATAAGAACCTACCATTGGAGACACATAATTGTTTTTAAAAAAATACAATCTCTTAACTCTAAACTTTACAAATTTAATATTAAACTAATGCTAAGAACCAAAATTAAGAGCTTATCAATTATCTCTGTAAAAAGAGTAGGGCTAAGGGTTGTTGGGCTCATGTTGGGCTGAAACAAGATGTAGAGAGTAAAACTAAACATTTTTTACGGAGAGGGAAGAACGAAAATGATGGGAAAAAAAAAAAAAGGAAGAACGAAAAAAAGAAAAGTCAATGATGAATTGAATGCTTTCTCCCTAATTTATTTATCTTCTTCTTCCTCTGCCCTCTTCGTCGATCTTGCCCGACCAATCTCGGGTCTTATGAAATTGATACGGCAAAAGAAAAAGGAAGGTGTGAATTTTTCTAGATTTTATTAGCCACCAGATATAATCCAGGTGAATCTTCTTCTTGTTTTGTTTGTTTGTTGGGGTAGATAAGTAGATCTAAAACCTTAATCCGTCTATGTGTGCCCAAAGAGTAGCTAGAGATTTAATTAGCAGTTTGCCAGATGAGGTTCTTGGCAAAATCCTGTCGTTTCTTCCGACACATCATGCTGCTTCCACATCGGTTCTGTCCAAGAGGTGGAGGAATCTGCTTCCGCTTGTAGACAAGCTTGAATTGACTGACGATGCAAGTGGTCGTTGTCCTTTAGGCTTCCCTGAATTCGTGGACAAAACACTTGCTCTCTTAGACAGGCCTTGTTCAGTCATCAAGAGATTCCATCTGAATTGTGAACATAAGCATGAAGAATCTCGGGTTTACGGTTGGATTCGCACAGTTCTGGAGCGCGGCTTCTTGGAAGTTCACTTGGAGTCCTCGCGTATGTATTGTATAGATACTGAGTTCTTCACTAGCAACACACTGGTTGAGCTCACAATATGGGGTGCGTTTTATCCCGACGGTATTCTTCCTCCTGGGGGTGTGTTTTTCCCAGCGCTCAAAAGACTCTCTCTAGTCTCAGTTGCGTTTGCAGATTGTGACATGTACGAGGATTTAGTCTTTGGCTGCCCTGTTCTTGAGGAGTTATTCCTATATTATACAGATGTTAACCAAGCCCCGGCTTGGAATGGGAACGTCTTTAGCCCTTCCATCAAACGACTCACCATCAATCACGATTTCCCCGATTACCCAGAAGTTCACAGTGAAATTTGGTTTGATACACCCAGTCTTGTGTACCTTGACTATTCTGGTCATGTCTCGCGTTGCTATACCGCTGAATTGGGTTCCCTTGTAGAAGCTAGACTCAATCTTCAACCATGGGAGCAACTTATTGACTCAGACGATGATACAGACGATGAGGGTGATTTTTATGATTATGATCCTAATTGGGAAGCAGTTTCGAAAGATGCTACGGGTCTGGTTGCAATGATAAGCAATGTTAAGACCCTTCACTTGTCTTCAGATTCTCTTGAGGTCAGTTTTTTTGCTATTTGTTCTTCTTGTGTTAATTGTTTTTCAATTTGGAGCTAGCTAACAAGATTTGTTTTGGTTGTGATAAATCAGGTATTTCACTCTCTGTGTAAAGCAATGCCAGCGTTTCAAAACCTCCTTAAGTTATCGTTTGAGAGTGACAAAGAAAGAGGCTGGCAAGTGGTGCCACTTCTTCTCAACAGCTCTCCAAACCTGGAAACTTTAGTCATCAAAGTAAATGTATATCAAATTTCTGTTGATCAACACTTGTTATTCTTTTTTGCTTTACATGAATTTCCTTTCGATTTCAGGGACTTGTGCACAAAGTTACTAATAGATGCGGGGACGCCTGCATTTGCATCCGTAAGAAGAAGGGAGAATGTTGTTTATCGACATGTCAAGTGAAGGTGTTAAACATTTCAGGGTATCGCGGAACTTGTCGTGAGCAGAAGCAGATGAGTCATTTCTTGGCAAATTTGAAATGTCTGGAGACTGTCAAGGTGGGTGTTGAAGTGGATCACCGAGAAGACAACGATGCTAATAATACGTACCTGCGAATCACCAATGCTCTTATGAAGCTTCCTAGGGTTTCATCAAACTGTCGGATCCATTTCCTCTGATTTCTCTTTTCCACCGTTGTTTATCTGCCGAGAAAACCTTGTTTTATTTGGTTGTTGCAAAACATTATTGTGTTGTTTTTCTTTCTCCAAACATACGAACTTAATATTATTAATACTCAAGAGTCAATACATTGTTTCTCCTGATCCACGATTGGTTGTATTGCAACCAAAATGGGCTCCTACAATCTAACAAAGCATAGTAAACCTAAACATTATTGTGTTTAAATTCTTACTTCTTTTAATTTAATCATAGCCACGTCTTGTAATATTTTCCAGCATCACCCAATCAATTATGCGGTAGCGTTTTGGTATGATGCTCGAAAGAGCATGATTTAAACCAAAAACCAAAAACCAAACTGGATGGCTAGAGACGCTTGTGTTTTGAGGTAGCCGCCGGAGAAAAAAAAAAAACCTCTCTCCGACATGAAGAGTCTCCTCGACCGGCGATCCTCCAACCAGATCTCCTCCTGAAAAGACGCTCTACTTTCCCATTCTTGTCCAGTCGGTTTCACATTTGCAACTTCTCTTCGCTAATGCTGGTACCAGATATCAGTTCCCCAATTTTGATTGTTGAGTTGTTGAGTTGAATCACTCTAGATATTGATAGGAATTTTGAAGTTTGGGTGGTGAATCTTAAACTTATCTTGAATCCTGAGACTTTTTATCTGAACTGCGGTTTTTCTTTGCAAGGGATGAATCAGTTTAAGCCAACATTTTTGGGGACTGCTGATCCAAATTTCGAGCTCAGCAAGCTAACACTCAGAAGTGTGTGTACGTGCTGGTGGAGAACACATTGATCTCGATGATGTGGGTAAAGGCACTTATCATAACATCTTCTTTGAAATGCTTGGAAACTGGTTTTGGAGATTATTTCAAGAAGGAAACCATTGAATGGGGGGGGGGGGGGGGGGGGGGGGGTGTTGGGAGCTATTAACAAAGGTAAATTCACAACTACGGCAACCTTTTTTTCTTTTTTTAGAGTTTGATTAATGAATAAGCTTCCCTGTTTCTTCATGACTCAGGTCTACGGGCTACCAACTGATCGAATTTACTCTACCTATTTTGAGGGTGATGTGAAAGCTGGTCTTCAACCTGATAATGAAGCTGGAGATATATGGCTTAAATTTCTTCCATCTGGACGAGTTATGCCCTTTGATTGCAAAGTATGTTTACTTCATTACTCCATAATATAGTTTCCCTTTTTGTAGTGATCCCTTTGTTCTCATTTGAAATTTTTTTTCTTATTTGATTGCTCAGACTATCATCTTTGTATCAATTGCTAATGTTTCTGGTATATATTGACACATTGCTACTTCAGCAAGAACTGTAGAACTTGGAGGCTTGAATGGATTTAGGAGTAGGTATACACTTTCAGGTTTTGATATTTGGCAAGTTTTCAAAACAGATGTTTATGACTTCGGGTCAGATTTTTTTACCAGATGTAGATACATGGATTTTCAATTTTGGTAACCTTCTTTGTCATTTCGATTTAGCAACACCTATTATATTTGCAGGACAACTTCTGGGAAATGGGAGACACTGGTCCATGTGGACCTTGTACTGAAATACATTATGACCGTGATGCTGCATCCTTAGTTAACAAGGATGATCCAACTTGCTTAGAAATATGGAATCTTGTCTTTATTCAGGTATAAACTCTCTCTGTTCTCTTCGTAATTTATCTTGGTATATGTGGAGCCTGAAAGGTTATTCTTTTAGAATGTTATTGATCATCTAAATGCAGCTCCATATCAACTCGTAGCTAAATTTTGCTAGCTTCTTTACCTTAATTTACCCTCTCTTATTTCTATTTTTAGATTTTTTTCCATTAACGAGCCTGTACATGTGTTTGTAAAATAGTTTAACAACTCTGGAAAAGTTGGTGCTGACGATGTTGACAGAGTTGGCACGGCATATAGAGTGGTCGCTGATCCTATTAGAACTCTATCAATTGCTATTGTGAATGGATCTCGGCCTGGTATTGCCGTATTCCCTCTTCTTCCATTTCTTAATTGCTATTTTTTCTTTTCTTTTGCAAACAGTTATTATTTGATCATTAGTAAATCTGTTATGGTATTTAACTGAAATGTATATATATACTCTCTTGTTTAGCGAATATTACCACCTCTTGTAGGTAGCGAGGGTCTTCAACATGATCTGAGGAGTATTCTTCGTGGAGCGGTTCGATATGGAAAAGATATTTTAAAAGCCGAGGAAGGGTATTTCAACGGTAAGTAGTTACGGCTGGAGCATATTGTGTAAATGCAACATATGTTTCGCACGTATCTTAATTTTGTCTCTGTGTGAGTGTGTCTGTCACTGACCAGTCTATTCTAACATGTAGACTTGTAAGTTCTGTTATTCGGGTGATGGGCGATGTCTTTACTTTACGGAGTTAAAGGAACATGAAAAGAAGATCACAGAGATTATAAAAGAAGAGGAAGCAGGCTTTTGCATAACCTTGGAAAAAAGGTGGTGGCTAAATTTAAGCTCCATCAAACCTTTACCTTTCTCTTATTTTGAAACCTGGGATATTCTGGCTCTTTGAACTAATGTCTTAGAAACAACTCCTTAGCTTCAAGTTCAAGGAAACTTTGTATTTTAGAATATACTGTTATTGGTTTCAACATCATTTCGGTTTAATGTATATTTGGACATGATTCCAGTTGCATTCTTTGTTAGATAGGTGATCAGAAGAACAGTTTGATTGATGGAATTCATTTTTTAACTGCAGGGAATTGAGAAGTTCACAAAGTTTCTCAGGAAGTTGAGGGGAATACATTGTCTGGGGAGAGGCATGATTCTAGGATTTATTTTTATTGATTTTTCAAATTGAAATGTTGGCAGTATATGCTAGTTATAGAGTTGACTTACAGAGGGACTTATACATTGTCAATGTCAGATGATAAGGTTAGATACCTCTTACTGCCTATTGGCTGGAAATCAAAAACATTACATCATTATCCTGAATTTTTTTTGCAGATAAGCAGCTGTTCTGTACCCAGGGACGCGCCCTACTGTCATAAGGATCCGTTTTAAGGTACTTCGATCCCTCAAAATATCAGGACAGTGAAAATTTCTTTTTAATAGTAGCATTTATAACATTGGTCTGGCATTGGGAAGAAGGCCTGTTGCTTATCTTTTTAAGTACCGTGTCTAGTACATCCATCTAAGACTTATCTGATCTTGCTGGGCAGTTCTTTCTAGCGACGCTGCTTCATTGGCTGGTCTCCGTCGTGTTTGAGATTGCTTTCAATCTCCGGACGGAGCTTCTCTGGGTGATTTGCGGTGGTTGTTTCTTTCAATTGATGAATTGGGTGGTTCGTTCTTGGATTTATCGTGACCCTCTCTTTGTTAATACCTCTGTCTCGCTTTTGCACTCAATTATCACCTCTGCATCAGGTCCCTCCCTTTCCTCTCTTCTTTTATGTTTTGAGTTTTTACTATAGGATTTTGCTCTGTTAATGGGGAAATTTTTTCATCATACGTGTGCACATTGGTCTTTGGTATTGGTCAATTTTCCTTTAGTCTGGTGTGTTTTCACGCTTGCATTTGTTCATTTCTTAATGTAGTTCTTATTTCCGAGAGAATTCTTTTTCTGATTGCTTGATTAGTGGTGTAGTTGTTGTTGTCTCTATGCTAATTCTTGTAATCACTTTGAATCTCCTGTATAATTTTAGTGAGTGACAGATTTGATGATTTAGGTTAAAGAGGTAAAGAATAAGCCACAATCTCATGTGGGAGATAACACTTAATTGATGCCATTTTCCAGGTTTTATCTTTTGCTATGAAAGGTCTGTTCTGTACCAACAAGCATGTCCTTGACTATATAGACTCAACTCTTCAACTTCCAATTTTGATGTAGCTTTGTTGATTCGATGATCGGGATGTGGGTGATTAACTTGTTTTTTGGTCTATAAGTTGATATATGGACGTGTTAAGATTAGTAACCAGTGCAGAATTTTTGCTTTACTGTCAGAATGCCATTTGTTTCTTGGATTGCGGCAACCCTTCTTAAATGCTGGAGTGCATAAAGCTTACCTTGATTATATAAACTTTGGGTCTGGGGAGCTTATTCGTTACTTCTACTGTTTTACTATTCATGCTGATCATTAGTCTCGGTAGTTATTTCTATTTGAGACCTGGTTTACACCCTTGAATGTAATTACTTAATTGGTTTTAAAGACCATCACACCATCTGTCTTGCCATATCTTGCGTATGATGTAGTTCTTTCTTCACCAAACCATATTGATTGATTTTGCATCTTCAACACTGCACTTGTGTTATTGCAGTGGTTTTCATTCTGCTCAATCAATGCTTAGCCAAAGGTTTAGACGAGATGTTCGATCATTCTGAGTTGGTTGGTGGTACTTGGAAATGAGCATATCCAGCTTTGTGTTTCTCATGTGGCTACTTTGCATATGACCAGTGGGATATGCTTCAGTACCGGTTATACAGCGGCTTAATACCTTCCATTGTGGTTCACCACCTCATCCTCCTCGTTTGCTTCACATTGGCTCTATACCGAAATGTAACCATCAACTACCTGATTCTTACTCTCATTTGTGAGGTACATTCCACTGTCTTCCTGAAAAGTTTCCCTGGCTCTTCTCTGTTCTTTTCCGATACTATGCTAACATTAATATAGCTCTAGTTGGATATAGACTACAATGTCAACTCCACAACATGTACTTATCCGAACCAAAGTGACCTTAGTTATTCTGATGTGTAAACAGATGCATTCGATCTTTCTACACGTGAGGAAGCTAAGGAGAATGGCGGGAATCCGAGACAGCAACACAGCATTGGTGAAACTAGAGTGGGTACTAAACTGGACAGCATTTGTGTTTGCGAGGTGCATTCCTCACATTCTCATCAGTGTCAAGCTGATCAAAGATGCACACAAGTTTGGGAAAGGCCTGGAGTTACCGATGCTATGGTTTGTTTGTTGTATGACTAGTGCCCACACATCTCTTGTTTTATATCTGAGGCTTTGCTACTAAGTTCTAATAGCTTTCAGATTTGTATGTATCTATAGAAAAACTATATGTAGATGTTTTTTGTTGATGATTACAGAGTTTTTTTCTTCTTGGGTTTTGGAAAACCGTACCAAACTAGAATTTTGGTTCGGCTTGAAGACTCGATCTTGGTTTGGTTTAGTATATTGCTTCTACTTGTTACACTATCTAAATCTTTTTCTTGCTTGTCTTGTCTAATGCGTTCAGGTTAAATGGCTAACAATCATACTTGTACTTATAATCTAAGAAATTGTTTGTTTTATCGTTTTAAGTAATTTTGTCGATGTTTGATATAAAACATTTCGTCTTGCTTGACAAATTACCATCTGTTGAAATGAGATAAGATTGTAGATCGCTTTTATTGCAATTTGTAGAAATGCATATATGAGAAAATCACAGAGGATCATTGTTTGAGAAACTAACTGCATAAGCAAATTCCAAGCATTATCATTGTGCTATGGTATTTTATCTACAAGTTCAAGAATATTAGTCATCTAATGTAAAAATTGCTAATACCAGAAGCATCTATACTACAAACACAACAAACAACAACTTTCTGTAATCGATACCTGCAACAGATGATGATCACACTCCAATTTTCAAACGAAGAAAGATTGGAACTAACTAAGAAACACAGTCTAGTCTCTACCTTCTCCCTTTGAACCAGAGGAACTCTGCTGATTAGAGCCTCTCTTCCCTCCTTTAGACGTGTTGAATATACGAGCTTTGTCATCTTTCGACGAACAGTAACTAAGGCAGAAGAGTGATGTGGATTTGTAAACATGCTCACTCAACGACCAACCTGTTAGACCACATGGATCACCGTCTACTGCCCTTTCCCCCCTCTTAATTTGATATCGCAGCTGCGAAACAGTAGAGTGGATTTCATCATATTCACCAAATTTGTGAACAGCATGGTTTGACCTTAACCATTGAATGGTTTTATCTCCCACTCGGAATCTTTGGAACTCTGGAGTGCTTTTTTGCTGGTAAAATAACCAAGATCGCTCCCTTCCTTGACTGAGAAAATCCAAATCTATGAAGTTCCACTCACTTGGCAGTTTCTGAAAGATCTCAACATCTTGGATCTCTGGGATTCCACCATCTACATTGTCTTCTACCTTTCTCAGCAAGGCAACAGCAATCCGATAATTTTGCTCCCTTTCGTCAAAAAACCCGTCAACAACGACATATGCGTTTCCTTGACTAACCATCTCTTTATGAGTGTCACAGCAATATCTTTCACCATCAACCACTACATGGTTGCAGCCGAAGAGGGAGCAACCATGTAGCGGAAGAGAAGCGGCTGGGAGTTCTTGTTGTTTTTCCCGCAAAGGAGCATCTATGAAAAAAAAGACAAAAGATGAGAAGACATAACAGTAACATCTGTATTACACACGACATGAAGCCAGTTTCAGATAAGAAGCCAATATAAACAGAAGAGATAACATTAGCATGTGTTACACACGACATGAAGAATATATATTACAGGAGCAAACATTCCACATGAATTAGGACAGTTTGGTTAGGTTCTTGCTACTTGCTAGTTAGGCATATTACACAAAGACATCACAGGACAAAGATAGGAGCAAAACACTGCAAACAGGAACTCTTTTTTGTTATTACTGGAGACTTGTAAAACCAACTTTCTAATGGAAAAAACATCTTTCACACTCAAATTTGTAAACGAAGAAAGACTGGAACTTTCTTACCTTTAAACACAGTCTTGTCTTTTCCTTTTCCCTTTGAACCAGAGGAACTAGGCTGATCAACGCCTCTCTTCCTCTTCCCGCAGTCGTCTCCTTTAGACATCGTGAATATACCAGCTTTGTCATCTTTCGACGAGTGGTAACTAAGGCAGAAGAGTGATGTAGATTTGTAAACATGCTCACTTAACGACCAATCTCTTAGACCACATGGATCACCGTCTACTGCCTTCCCCCCCCTCTGAGTATAATATTGCAGCTGCGAAACAGTAGAGTGGATCTCATCATATTCACCATATTTGTGAACAACAGGGTTTGACCTTGACCAATGAATGGTTTTATCTCCCACTTTGAATATCTGGAACTCTGGAGTGCTTTTTTTATGGAAAAATAACCAGCCTCGTTCCATTTCTTGATGGAGAAAATCCAAATTTATAAAGTTCCACTCTCTTGGCAGCTTCTGAAAGATCTCAACATCATGAACCTCAGGGATTCCACCAGCTAGATTGTTTTCTACCTTTCTCAGCAAGGCAACGACGATCCGATAATTTCGCTCCCTTCCCGAGTCAAAAAACCCGTCAACAATCACATACGCTTTGCCTTGACTCGCTAGTTCAGCCGCCATCTCATCATGAAACTCGGAGCAGCATCGTTCACCATAAACCACTACATGGTTGCAACCAAAGAGGGAGCAACCATGAAGGGTTCTGCCACCATACTGACCGTGGCGAAAGGGAGCAGCTAGTTCTTCTTCTTTATGTTGTTCCCGCTGTTGTTGTTCCGGCAAGAGAGTAGCAACCGGTGCTGGGAAAAAAAAAGGCAAAAGAATTTTAGATAAGAAGCCAAGTTAAAACAAAACATAACAGTAGCATTTGTATTACATGCGACATGAATCATATATATTACATGAGCAAACATTCCAGAAGCATTTGAATGTTATAGTGCACGTTCATAACATGAATTAGTTAGGCATATTACACAAAGACATCACTCTGAACTCGATACATGCAACAGATGATGCACCTTTAAATACAGAAACTAAAAGAAAGACTAGACTGGAGACTTTATTATGCACCTTCTCCCTTTGAACCAGAGGAACTTGGCTGATCATAGCCTCTCTTCCTTTTCCCGCTGCCGCCTTCTTTAGACGTGTTGAATATAGGAGCCTTGTAATCTTTCCCAATGCGGTAAGTAAGACAGAAAAGTGATGTGGATTTGTGAACATGCTCACTTAACGACCAACCTTTCAAACCACATGGATCCCCTTCAACTGGCTTTTGTCCCTTTCTAGTGTCATATCGCATGTAAAAAACAGTAGACTTGATGTCATCATATTCCCCATATTTGTAAACAGCATGGTGTGACCTTGACCATCTAATAGTGTAATTTCCCACTTCAAATGTAGGGAGCTTTAAAGTGTTTCTTTTATGGTAAAACAACCAAGATCGTTCCATTTCTCCATGGAGAAAATGCAAATTTATAAAGTTCCAATTCACTGGCAGCTTCTGAAAGATCTCACCATCTTCAATCTCTGGGATTCCACCAGCTACACTGTCTTCAACCTTTCTCAGCAACGCAAGAACAATCCTAAAATTTTTCTCCCGGTCTGCGTTAAAGAAGCCGTCAACAATCACATAAGCCTTTCCTTCACTAGCAAGTGAATTGGCCATCTCCTTGTGCGTGTCAGAACAATATATTTCACCATCAACCACTACATGGTTGCAACCAAAGAGGGAGCAACCATGTAGGATTCGGCCACCATATTGACCATGGAGAATTAAGGGAAGAGGAGCGGGGAGTTTTTCTTGTTGTTGATCTGCGGAAAAAAAAGAGACAAAACATAAGAAGCCAAGCTAACACAGGAGAGAACATAACAGTAGCATCTATATATTAGAGGAGCAAACAAACCAGAAGAACACACTCATTAACATGAATTAGGATAGATTGGTTAGGTTCTTGCTAATTAGGCATTTTACACAAAGACAACACAGGACATAAGACATGAGCAAACAAACATAGTAGAAGCATATGATTATCTGAACACACTCATAACATGAATTAAAATAGTTTGCTTAGGTTCTTGCTACTTCCTAGTTAGGCATATTACACAAAGACAACACAGTACATAAGACATGACCAAAACATAGTAGAAGCATCCGATTATCTGAACACACTCATAACATGAATCAAAATAGTTTGCTTAGGTTCTTGCTACTTCCTAGTTAGGCATATTACACAAAGAAAGCACAGTACATCGAGATGAGCAAACATAGGAGAGAACATTGAGGCAATCACAGGACAAACTTACCAGAAGCATCAATATTAGCGGCAGCGAGTTCTTGGTGTTGTTCCTGCGGTTTTTGTTCCGGCAAGAGAGAAACAGTGCCCTGTCCAATTGAATTATCGATATCCTCGATACTACTAGCGGAAGCGATTTCTTGATGTTGTTCCGGCAAGAGAGCAACGGTGTTCTGTCCCATATCCTCGATGCTATCCATCTTTGCGAACGGAATTGAGAAGAGGGAATCGAAACGGAGGGAATTCGATCGGAAATCAAAAGGGACGGTGATCGGAAATGGAACCGGAGGTTGATCCGAGAGCAATCAGAGTTTTGAGTGAAAACGACGTGGAAAAGGTCGGAGATCGATGCTATGTTTCTTTCTGAACCCGAAGAATGCAATCGATCGGAGATCGGAATTGAGAAGAGGGTGACCGGAAATGGAACCGGAGGTTGATCGGAGAGCAATTAGGGTTTTGAGCGATAAGTCGATAACGACGTGGAAAAGGGTCAAAAAGTGAAAGAAAGTTCTAATAAGAGGCTGACAAAATAGAAATTTAGGGATTTGTCTTTCTTTCAAGCGATCTGGTCCACTGGATTTTAGATTTGCTTTGCATCCTCACCGTTCCTTTCCCACGATCCTGGAGGAAATAATACATCCAATCAGAGAACTCGTTTTCACCCAAAATTTTCAGTAAATTATTTATTTTTATCCGCTGGAATTTAAAGTGTTATGTCCTAAAATAAAACCTTTTTTTTTTAATAATGATATTAGATATGGACACGGGTTACTGGTCGAAATTGTCATTTTTAATTTTTATTTTTATAAGTTTAACTAAAATTATATAAAAATATGTTTTAATTTTAGAAAAATAGTATTTTAATTATTTTAAAATATAGATTAATTATGCATAATGTGCAATATAAAATACTATTTGTAGTTTTGTTTATTATATGTGACAGTATAATATTTAATAAATGTTCATATGTGTATTATTGAATTTTAATAAATTATCTACATCTATCGGAGGAGTGTATAACACTTTCTAATTTCAATGTGGACAAGGTGGAAACAAAATTGTAACAATATGAGAAAGTCTATATCCACATCATTTAACTTTACTTGATAATATGAGAAATCCTCAAAACAAAAAGACAAATTCATAAGGAATTAGGGAATATGCACTAAATAAACTACGAAAATAATATTAACTAAACAATGTCTATTTGCTATATGGTTTTTGTCAATTTTTGGCCCATATTACTCATGAGTTCTTCGTTGTCTCTTTTTTCTTTCTTCTCGCCGGCGAGAAGTCTCAAATCTCTCTTTTTCTCTCATTAGATTTCTCTTATTTTTGCTCGATCTCCTCTTTCTTTTTCTTTCTCTCCCTCTCGTTGGATTTCTTCACCACCATACTTTTTTCTTTTTCCATATCACTATTTCTCACCTTCCTCGGGCATCACCACCGAGTCTCACTACTCCGACCTACCAGGCCACCACCACAACTGAATCTCACAACTATCACAATCATCATCACCATCAATACTAAGTCTCGCAAATTCCAACCCACCACCTTCATCAATATTTACCGCCACCAGCACCAAGCTTGAACCACCGTCATCAACACCAACACCACAGTTACCGCATCATCCCCTCTTTCCCCAACTGCTCTTATTTCTCCACCTTCTTTATCTCCTCCGACATCAGATCGAGCTTCTTCGACAACAACTCTATTTTATGTCCATCGCCGTTCATAATTTTTCAATTTGCCTTCTGATTGCTCGAGTAATTACCCGATACACTTAACCGCAAGATAGTATATACGGGGTCGATCCACAAGAACCAATGGTACACTAAAGATTTCCTAGACTCGTTCTTAGCTAAAGCGGAAAGGTTGTTTGTTTGGTTTTTCGAATTGTAAAATAAAAATGCAACAAATTTAAACGATTTAACTTATGAATTTAAAGACATTGGGCCATAGGGTATTTCAGAGATCAACGAATAATGGAAACATGAGACAAGGAATTCAACAATTAAGCATCGTTCTTGAACATGAACACATTTAGACTAATTCTCTTTCAAGACATTAATCACTAAATTTGACTACTCGATTACTAAACTTTCGCATGCAATTTCCTAGTCAAATTCGCATTACCAAACAAGTTCATTAAGTTCACAATGCGTCCTAACGTCAACTTTCATTGGCTAAGCATACATTGCTCAATTCACATTGATTCAGGCATTCTATCGAACACTTTTGATGCATAGAAAAAACCTAGAATCTACAACAGGGTGATCAATCCTATTCTAGCTTTAAGAACATGTGAATCAAAGAACCTAGAGTATGAGAATTCTTAATAACAATCAATCCTTTAATCCATTGAATCTCCTAATTAGAACCCTAAAACCCAATAGGATAACTACTCACACATAGGAAAAGAGATAACAAAAATCAATGAAGAAAACATGATGAAATTGTAGAAATAACAAGAAAGGGTTTAGAAATCTTCTCCAAGTGTCAAGAGGATGGATTCCTTTGCCCAAAGTTGTTTTCAAACCAAAGAACAAAGTTTTGAACTGAAAAATATCAAGGATAATGTCTCAAAAGTCGAGCATAGGGTTTTAAAACAATAGGAGACGAGCCGGGTCGGATCTGGAGTGACTCGGGTCAAATCTGGGCCAAAACTACGTCTGGGGAAGGGATCGATCGATCCAAAGGAGGATCGATCGATCCAGCAGTGTCTGGAACGTTTCTCATCCGTCAGGGAAGTGGATCGATCGATCCACAAAGGGATCGATCGATCTGGAGCTTCTGGACTTCAGCTCTGCACCTGCTTCAAATGCTCGCCAGATTGACCTGTCTTCACTAATTTGGGTATAACTCTTGAATGCACCGTTAGATTTCCTTCAAACCACTTGGAAAATCAAGCTAACATCTTCATATAGCTTGTGACAAAAATTCAGAAAGATCTAACGGTGTGAAGTATTCCATATGATACCAAACGTCTGACACTTCTAAACGAAACTGCATCTCCAAAAGTGTGTTTATAACCCAAAACAGCTCGTTTTCTTCCAAAGCAACCTAAAACCTGTAAAGACTCGATAAAAGACTAAAAGACTCTAAAAACACACTTTGACTCTATAAAACATATGATGTAGGAAAGAAAACAAAGACTCAAAACCGATAAAAACACAACATATCACCTTCATCGCCATATATTCTTAATTTTTCTATCTATCTATTTGTTTATCTATAGGGTTGAGTATTTAAAATCCTTTTTCTTCTAATATTAAAAATGGATTATAAATTTTTTTTTAATTATCATATTATACAATAAGATTATATAATTTCATAAATCTTTTTTAATTTTAAGGAAAAAGTTATCTTTTCCTTTTAGAACTAGTAACTTTAAATTAGAATTAGTAAATAATTTTTTAATTTCGTTTGTTATTTAATAAGATACATATAGTTTCTTTATAATTATCTTCTTTACTTATTAAAAATTGTTTTTTATTAGATAGATATGGATAGATGCCTTATAATTTTTGTCTTAAATTTCTATTTTTATTTCATAAGATACATCTAATTTTCTTATATTTATCTTCTTTAGATTTTAAGAATTTTTTTATATAAGATATACGTATAATTTCTTTATAAATTTTTTTCTAAACAAATATTTTTTTTGGTTTTACATGTTGATAAATTTGACATATAAGTATAGTTTTCTTATGTTTTTTTTTATAAATAAAAGAAATTTTTTGTTTAACACGTGTCAAAATCTCAGATCGATAAATTTGACATGTGTCACGATCCTATGAGTTACTAACTTTGAAAACCATACTTTATATAATAAGATATGTTGTCTAAAAAAATTGTTAATATTATTTTTGAACATTAAAGTTTAATATTTGCATTATATTTACAATTAATTTTAATTTTAAAAGAATATAAGAACCAGATTCGAAGATACCAAAACAGCAATTTGTATTTTGTATTTTAGTTATTTTCAGCATTTTAAAAATTTAGAAATTGATCATTCGGATTTAATCATATATACTTACAAAATTCAATCAAACCAAATTCTCAATATCTATACTTTTGATCAAAGATCATATTTGAAGATATATCTGTACTTATGATTATATGTCTTGTCCACTTGTGGATACGTTCCGATTATATATCAATCATTTTTTTTTTGTCCAAAATATATATCAATCATTATGATGATGTGTTGATACCTTAATTCTATGTGCTGTCCAGTCCACTTGTCAATGTAGGTCATATGGTAATCCCCACATACCGAGGAAGAGGAATATTATTGGGATGTGCTGGTTTGATGTAATATACAATATTCAACAACAGTAAAATAACAGAAGGTTACTGGTAATGAAAGAAAAAATGCCACTATATTTTTGTTCTTATCCTCAACTAAGCTTTTCTTTCATTGAATATACATCACTACAAACCTCTGCAAACTTGAGGCTTAGCTGAGAATAACGGTCATGCATTCCCCTAAGCTCTGTCTCCAGAGACGATTATCGGGCTTTGGTCTCCAGCATTTCTTCAATTAGATTGTTTCTGTCTCTTAAAATTCTGGAAGATTGCTTCATCATCAGTTTGTTGCTTCAAGTAAGAGCTGCAATTTCAGGCAAAAAGGAATAATAATTTCAATGTCTAGTATAGTTCTTTCTTGTTCCTGCAGTATCTTGGTTTTACAAGGGCGAAAATAAATAGCAGAATCTTTGAATCGTGTACCTCTGGAAATGGATGGTTGCTTTTTTCTTTCCACGCAATGCTTCAGCAAATTCTATTTCCAGTGCAAGAAACCTTTCCAATGCGTTTCCGAAGCTGAAGTTCTCTTGAGATAGAGGGAAGATACTTTGAAGTTCTTCCTTTGCCTGTCGAAATCAAGATCATAAGACTTCTGGACACACATGCTTCAATATATTACAATCTCTTTAAGGTAAACATCAACACCTGACGCAAATGTATCAGCTCCTGTCCAAACCCGAAAATCTGGTGTCTGTATCATTATCATCTTGAGGTTGAAGTAGATTATCATTCTTCATCCGTTCTAGCTGTAAAGAAGAAAAAGAAAAATATCCAATAACGCTAGGAAAAATCTTTCTGTAGATACTAACCAACATGTAGATATTGTAATTCAGAATTGCCATCCAATCAAAACTAACTCACTGATATTAACATTTCAAATTATTTCAACACTTAATCCAGTATTACCTCATTGTTTAGGTGATCCATGCTAGACCTTAAAGTCTCTGCCCTGAAATTATCATTGATCAAAGCTAGGCTTTCTTCACTTTTGTCCAGCGCCCTTGCTTCTCCGGAAGGTAATTGGTCTCTGTTTCCATTTACACTGCTCGATTGAATAGCTCCCTGATGTACATTAGAAGGTGTAAATATAGTAAGCATGATAAGAAATTTGAAAGAATATGCTTAATATCTAACTAGAGAATTATCTAGCGATAACATCGAAATATGTAGATTCATAGAGAAGATGCAGCAGAAATTTAACATGACTGGTTGGAGCAGAACTAGTTTTAACATGAGGTCTATGATACCATGAACTTGAATATTCTTAACTACCAAATTAATGCTAATCCAAACGGGATCTAACTGAGGGTTACCTGAATTTTTGACCAGGGACTGATGATCCGCACTGTAGGATCAAAACAAGCAACTTCCCTTTGCTCACGGTTCACCAAGTCGCCTGAAGAGACTGCAATTGTATTTTTGTCAGCCAACTCTGACAGCTCAATATTTATTAATCTATCATTTTCTTCCATCTCAATATTTTTCTGAGAGCTGCAACGTTGTACTAATTCTCTCCTTGATTCTAGCTCTTTGGACGTTTTCAAACTCTCCCCTTTGCATTGCTTCTGTTTTTCTTCTTTTCAGCACTCAAGGCTAAATAATGAACAATCCAGCTCTGCCTTCATCATGTCATAAGCCGTTGTTTTCTCACATTTATCATAGATAACAGATTGTCGATCAGCCTCCAATTCCAAAAATTTTATCCTCCAGCTCTTTAGTTCTTTTTAATTGGCTGGATTCTGCCTTTTTCCTTACTTAATTCTCATCAATGGTATCTTGTAATTTCATCAGAATTTCCTCACCATGCTTCTTGGACATGGTCAGTTGATATTGAAGTTCCTGCAGCTTGGTTTCATACTGTTCTTTGATGAAAATGATTCTCAACGACTCCTGCTGTGGAGTTAGCGGGGCTTTATAGTCGGCCTTTTCACGGGCACGATTGCATTCAACTTCAGAATTTTCTCACCATGCTTCTTGGACATGGTCAGTTGATATTGAAGTTCCTGCAGCTTGGTTTCATATTGTTCTTTGATGAAAATGATTCTCAACGACTCCTGCTGTGGAGTTAGCGGGGCTTTATAGTCGGCCTTTTCACGGGCACGATTGCATTCAGCTTCAGCATTGTCCTTAATGTTGGATAATTGAGGGAGATTGAAGAACAGAGTAAGAGATAATATCTCTTCTCTTTTGAAGAAGACCAGAACGAAATAGAAAACTTTTTATTAAACTGAAACTTGTTGTTATTTACATGACGATACAATGAGTTTAAATAGATAACAAATAGACACAACACGTGAATAGTTGTGACTCTTCCTACTTGTGTCTCTCGAGTTAAACAACACAACTTCTCTAACAAGTAACGGTTTTAACAACCCACGTGTTGCTTTACTTACACACTTAGAACTAAATATATGAGTCTATGACCACACTCAATGTTGGATTATTGAGACTATGAAGAAACAGAGTAAGAGATAAAAATTATCTCTTCTCGTTTAGAGAAGCCAAAGAACGAAAACAGAAAACTTTTTATTGATCTGAAACTTGTTATTATTTACATGACGATACAATGAGTTTAAATAGATAACAAATAGACACAACACGTGAATAGTTGTGACTCTTCCTACTTGTGTCTCTCGAGTTAAACAACACAACTTCTCTAACAAGTAACGGTTTTAACAACCCACGTGTTGCTTTACTTACACACTTAGAACTAAATATATGAGTCTATGACCACACTCAATTATAAACTAACACTTAAGCTCTTTCAAATGATTGGACAAGCTTTTGAACTCTTCTGTTTTCAAAATCTACTCAGAGAGCTTCTGAGTGAGATCACTGCGCCTATTTTTCAGTGTTTCAAGCTCACTGGCACCTTCACCACAAAGCCCAGTTAGTTTATCTTTTAGCATCTCAACTGTAATTTCCGCGTCAAATTTTCTATTTCTTCTTCATACCCAAACAGCAAAGATTTCAATTGCTCGACCTCAGGAGCACATAAGCTTCTCTCAGAGTAACTTCTTTCTGCATTCTCATCCCTAGTTGCGTTCTCTTCGAGTTCAACTGACATTTCATCATTTCTATCAGCAAAAGCACTAGTTTTAGCCATGGAAGACTCTAGTTCAGACTTTAAGACTTCAAGACTAATCAATAACTGATTGTTTTCGTCCATATACCGCGTTTCGTTGACTAGACAATGGTTAAGGAAAGATTCCACATCAGTGTACTTCTTCTTAAAGTCAAGGTGGCTATTAGAGCAGCAACTAAGTTGTTCTCCAATGTCATTGATACAGATCTCAGACTCGATCTTTGTAAAAATAAGCTGAACATCTGCAGCCATTAGACATTGAAACAGTTCTTCTATAAAAGAAGACTCTCGATGAGCATTTCTAACATACTCCAAACGTTGAGAAGACTTTGCAGATTCCAGCTCAGCTGCCATCTTCTCCAAAAGTTCCACTTGAGATTTCTGCAAATCAAAGTTCTTCAACAACAAATGCTTTTCATCTAACTCAGAGGTGAGTTCTTCAACTCTTCTGTCTAAGTTGTTTCTCAAACTTCTTTCAATTTTCAATTCTGATTTTACGGAGTCGAGATCTACCAACAACTTTATATTAGCATCCATATGCTGAGCTCCTACATTATGAGAGTCATTGAACGCAGTCAGTGAGGATGTCTACATTGCTCAACCCTCTGTGTTCGTTGATCGTGATAAACCGGACTATGTATGCAAACTCCAGAAAGCGTTGTACGGTTTGAAACAGGACCCTCGTGCGTGGTATATGGAACTTCGCACATTTCTCTTTGCCTCGGGTTTCACCAACTCTCAGTCCGATGCTTCGCTCTTCATCTTGTTGCGTCATGGCATTATGCTTTTTGTCTTGGTTTATGTCGATCACATCGTTGTCACAGACAGTGATTCCTCAGCTATTGAGCGGTTCATTAAGCTTCTAGGAAATCGTTTTTTCGTTAAAGGACATATGGGCTCTGAGCTATTTCCTTGGCATTGAAGCTCATCGTACTTCCAAAGGTCTTCTTCTCACACAACAGAAATACATCACGGACCTGCTAGCTCGCACCAATATGCTGGAAGCTAATCCCATCTCCATTCCTATGGTAACGAATTGTACACTACACCTAAACTCGGGTTCCCCTATTCCTGATGGACGCGATTATCGTACAGTTGTTGGTAGTCTCCAGTATCTTCACTTCACGACTCTGGATGTGGCCTTCGCGGTGAACAAGCTGTCCCAATTTATGCATAAGCCAACCGATCTTCATTGGCAAGCTGCCAAACGGGTCCTTCGGTACTTATCTGCCACAAGGGATCATGACATCTTCCTTCACAATAACAATTGTTTGAATCTCCATGCTTTCTCTGATGCTTCGTGGTCTGGTGATCAAGATGACTACTCATCTACGGGTGCCTACATAGTTTACCTTGGTTTCCACCCTATTGTGTGGTCTTCCGAAAAGCAGAAAACAGTTGCACGTTCCTCTACAGAAGCAGAGTATCGTTCTGTTGAACATACGGCTTCCGAGTTATGTTGGGTGGTCTACTTATTGTATGAGCTTGGTCTTTCCCCGTCTTCCCAGCCTGTTATCTCTGTGACAATGTTGGCACTACATACCTTGCTGCTAATCATGTATTTCAATCGCATATGAAGCATTTGGCGCTAGACTATCACTTCGTTCGGTAACTTGTGCAATCTCGGTTTCTCCGGGTTGCTCACGTCTCATCCAATGATAAGCTCGCTGATGCTCTAACAAAGCCATTGTCTCGTTTGCGACTTTCTCATTTGAATTCCAAGATTGGACTCTCTAAAGTCGCTCATCTTGCATGGGCGTATAAGAGATAAGTATAGTTACATCTTGTTATGATTGTACAAAGGGATATTCCGTATATTCCTAGCATATCTCCATGTATATTGTTAGGCTAGATATCTTCTTATCATCTCTCTCTGTATATATATATATATGTTGTATCTTGACTCTATTGAATAACACACAATACACATACTTCTTCACCTTCTACAGTATCTTCAGAAACGATGATGAGGATAAGGTAAATTACAATTCACATGTTTTCTGTGTTTTTAAAGCTTTTTCGTTGAATGTAATTAGTGTTTGATTCAAATGCAGACAGTTCATCGCTAAAAGGTGGATACTAAGTCCACATGAGAGAGATCAAAGCTCACTACAGAGTCCATGGCTGATCTTCTTAGTGATGACGAGAACGAGGTAAAGGATTTTAACAATTGCGTGAGTGTGTTAGTACATTTCGATAAATTATTTACATGATTTCAATTGTGGTTTTGTTAACTGATCCTCTATAAGACCATGATGACGACTCAGCCTAGGACCATGACACCTCTGTCTCCTACACCGCCGACGACAGCTCTGCTCTTTTCACCGCCCCAAGCTCCTCCTCTTTTGAATTGTTCGAAACTGACCTTTTTCCTACCACCCCAAGCTCCTCCATCCAGCCTCCAACCATAATAACTACTAAGCCTATGACCATGACGCCTCTGCCTCCTCCTCCACCACAGACGACAAATCCGCTTCTTTCACCGCAACAGTACTCATTTTCTGAGTCTGCCACAGTCATCGCCACAACAACAGGAACTGAACTTCTTCTATAATCGAAAGAGAAAAATTAAGAAGACAAAGTTTAAGAATTACTCTCTTATTAAGCTTTAGAAAACTAACTCAAAAACTAAAGCACACAATATCTCTCAATCTCAAATCTCTCACAACTCATAGGGTTACCACACCTTGGTACCTCTATTTATATAAAACTCTCAAGACCTAATCCTAACTCAATTAGGGCTTACAACTTCTAGAATATTCTAGATAACTCCTAGAATATTTAAGCTAATCTTCCTTTTATTAAGTAACTTATTGCTCAAGTTACTTGACCTTCAAGCTTACTCCAACATTCTCCCCTTTAAGCTTGAAGTCTTCTCTTGGCACACCTTGAACTCCAATGAGCTTTCTCATCTCTCCAAACTTGACTCTTCCAAGCGCCTTAGTCACTATGTCCGCTTTCTGTTCTTCGCCGGGAACATGTTCAACTTCAATTTGACCATTCTCAACGCACTCGCGTATAAAATGATACTTCCGGTGGATATGCTTACTTCTACCATGAAACACCGGGTTTTTAGTGAGTGCAATTGCTGACTTGTTATCAACTCGTATGGTTACTCTTTCACATGCCGTTCCAATGACTTCAGCAAACAACTCTTGGAGCCAAATGGCTTGCTTGGCTGCCTCCGTAGCTGCCATAAACTCAGCCTCACATGAAGAGAGTGCAACTACTTGTTGTTTTTGGGAACACCATGTAATTGGACACTCATTAAGGTAGAAGACATGGCCTGCGGTACTCTTACCATCATCAATGTCTACACTATGGCTACTATCACTATAGCCTACCAGTCATGTTCCCGCTTCATTCTTAAAGTAGAGACCGTGAGAGAGAGTTCCTTGAAGATACCTTAAAATTTGTTTTAGCGCAGCCCCATGTGACTCTTTTGGTTCTTGTAGATATCTACTCAAAATCCCAACACAATAAGAAAGATCCGGTCTAGTGTGGAGTAAATATCTAAGGCAACCAACAACTCTTCTATAATCTTGTCCATTGACAATCTTCTCATCTTGTGCCTTAGAGAGCTCCAAACAGGCGGTCATAGGTATGTGTACTGCCTTGCATTCACTCACCCCGGCTTTTTCAAGTATCTTCTTTGCATATCTCTCCTGTTTTAAAACGATTCCATCCTCTCCTTGAATAACCTCAATCCCAAGGTAGTAAGTAAGCTTGCCTAAATCACTCATCTCGAATTTTCCCGCCATTCTTTTCTTAAAGTCAACTATGATCTCCAAGGTAGACCCGGTAACAAGTAAATCATCAACGTATACTGCTACAATTAGAAGACTCTCTCCTTCTTGTTTCCTGTATAGTGAAGGTTCCTTGGAGCATTTTTCAAAGCTTAAGTCCTTGAGAATTTCATTTATTTTGATGTTCCAAGCCCGTGGAGCTTGTCTTAATCCATAGAGAGCTTTGTGAAGTTTGTAAACTTTCTTCTCACTTCCTTTGACTACAAAACCCTTGGGCTGAGTGACGTAAACATCTTCTTTCAACTCACCATGGAGAAACGCCATTTTAACATCGAGATGATGCACTTCCCATCTATTTGAAGCCGCTAAAGCAATAATGAACCGAATTGTCTCAATACGAGCCACAGGAGCAAAGACTTCATCGAAGTCTATACCATGTTCTTGTACATAACCCTTCGCCACCAGCCTTGCCTTGTGTTTGTTCAAGCTCCCATCTAAATTACGCTTCAACTTAAAGACCCACTTCAATCCAATTGGCTTGATATTGACGGGAAGATCAACCAAGGTCCAAGTCTTGTTTTTATTTATGGAGAGAATCTCTTCTTCGCATGCATCTCTCCATTCTTTCTTATTGTTTGCTTCTTGCAAATCCCATGGTTCCTCATTGATCACCATCAAAAGTTGCTCTCCTTCGATCTCCGCTAATAACACATAGTCATTCAAATATTTTGGCTTTGTTATTTCTCTTCCGGATCTCCTTAGAACAGGCACGGGCTGTGGTGTTTGTTCTTGGTCCATTCCCATAGTTTCATCAAAATCCTCATCTTCTTCCTCATCGACATTGTTACTATCTCCTCTGTTTTCCTCTGTTTCCTCTCTCTCAACAATGGTATCAATATCTTTGATTCCATGATTTCCAAATTCTCCCAAGCTAAGAGTAAACATTCCCGATTCATTCTGTGTTTCTAAGTCTGAGTTGTTCCATTTCCAGCATTTGTTCTCATCAAACACAACGTCCCTGCTCACTATGATTCTTTGGTTTGTTGGGTCTAGAAGTCGATAAGCTTTGGAGCCCGGTTCTGTTCCAAGATGCACAAGCATTCTTGACCTATCATCCAACTTTTTCAGATTTGGTGCTTCAACTTTTGCATAACAAACACATCCAAACACTCTCAAGTGTTCTACATTCGGCTTTTTGTTCTTGAAAGCTTCATACGGTGTTTTGTTTGCTAAGGTCCTTGTTCCCACTCTGTTAATAAGATAGGTTGCATGACGTACTGCCTCACCCCACAAATAATTAGGCATCCTCATATGCTTCAATATGCTTCAATATGCTTCTAGTCATCTCTAACAACGTCCTATTCCACCTTTCAACTACACCGTTTCTATCAAAATCAAAATGTAATTTGTTTAGTTGAATAATAGATTATATAACCTATTGTTTCTATTTTAAAATGAACAATCATATACAGTAGAACCTCTATAAATTAATACTCGATAAATTAATAAACACGATAAATTAATAAATTTGGCCGGTCCCGAGTCGGGCCAGTGTAAAAATTAACCAAATTCGATAAGATAATAAGATAATAAGTTTTTTGAAATCCCTATGTAAAAATATAGTCCCAATAATATCATAAATTAATAATCATGTAAATTTTCACATATATATATATATATATCACATATATATATATATATATATATATATTAATTTTAGTGTTTTTCATAAAAATAGCTAAAAGTTTTTGTAAGTTTTCAAATTTGAATATGCATAATTTTTGTTTTGATAGTCGTATAGGTTTTTAAAATACAACAATGGATGTCACTATTTATGAATTTTAATTTATGTATATCATTTGTATATGTGAATTCTATAATAGTTGTTTATTGATTATCAAAATAAATTATTTTCTTTTCGAAATATTAAGTGTTTAAGGCTAAAACTATATAATTTATAACATCCAAAACATTAATTTTATTTAGATCACATTGTTTTTAGCTCATACTTTAAAAAAAAAAGTTTTCATAATTGAAACAAAACTTTCTATAAATTAATAAATATTAATTTACGCTATAAATTAATAAGTATTAATTTATAGATAAATTAATATCACTATAAATTAATAAAATATCATGGTCCCAACATTATTAATTTATAGAGGCTATACTGTATATATATTAATTTGTGTACTCTGCGGGATAATTTTTATTTTAACATATAATAATTTAGTCATTTACAGTTTTTAAATTTACTATTAAAATTATATTATTTAGATTTAGTGTTTGTTTAAGATTTAACCCGTAATACATATGTAACTTCGTAATTTATTATTGCAATTGCATATTTAAAAGTATCAAAAGAGATTAACTATTCTGTTTAATTCATCCTACATCGGACTAATGCTAATTTTAGCTATGGGTCAATGTCAATCATAACCCGTTTTGCCAAGTTTTCTTAAGAAATTAGGTGCTATTCTATAATAAATATTATTGTTTTCCTAGTCATACTAATGTTGATCCTAATCCGTTATGATTTAGAAGCTCTTAATTTTTTTTTGTTTTATATTTTGATAAATATAAAATACAACAAATATTGTTTAATAATTTTCATATTTAATGTAAAAATAAAATTTTGTCAAATGAAAGGACTTTTTTGGATGTTTTGAAATATTTAATAATTATAAAGTAATAATATAGAGTTTGGAAAAAAATAATAATAACATAGAGATGTTCCTTACTATAGTTAATATCAAAGCCAATCATAATCTATGTTTATTGTAGATTAAGAATTATATAGTTATGACAAAGATACATATAAAATCAATAAAATATAATTAGTGTGAAAAAAAAACAGAACTATTAAAAAAATATTTTGGTGCCGCAAAACAATCTTTTAAAAATTTTGTGGTCCAATTTTAAGTACGATTTCACATAGAAAATATAATATTTGCAGCATTTAGTTATATATTTTGAATCTAAATTTTTAAATAGAATCTTCTGCAATTTGTCGGAGAGTTTTAATAAGCAATTTTTGCTAACAATAATTAAGTTGCTGTTATTGTAGAAGATTTTAAATTTTAAAAATATTTTTAGTTCGTTTTTATGTAAGTAATTAAATGTAATTTTCAAATTTTGTTATAGGTTGTTAATTAAGATAAGTTTAGGCTATTTAATAGAAGCATTTTCTTAATACGCTTTGTATTTATTCTTGAAAACTATCCACATTCACGTTCACATTTATTGTTGAAAAATCTAATTTATGAATATTTCTTAAACTGAAAAATCTTCCAATTCTCCTTATATACGAAATTGTGTGTGCACTTCAAGATATAGAAACATAATCATTTTGTTGTTTAATATCGTTAATTTGGATTATTAACTCATTAATTTCGATATTTTTAAAACATGAAAAATGAAAGACTCAGGGCTTGATTGGTTCTCCCGCTAGCACCCTCCTAGCGGTTGCTAGCGGTCGGTTGCGGTTGTTAGCGGTTGGTACCAATCATAGAAACCGCTCCATACCGCTTCGAACCGCTCGAAATCGCTGAATTTCAAAAGCTCCTTCCCGCAAGCGTTTGCGGTTGCGGGCGGTAGCGGTTGGATAAAAAAAAAAAAAAAAAATCAAACGTTTACTTATAATTATTATAATATATGTTAATCTTATATATATCTTTCATCTTTTTATCATGTTCTCATCAGAAACCCTAATAATATTCTGAAACCCTATTCTCTTTAATGTCTTCCACCCAAACTGATGAAAATCAAGAACCAAACGTAAGTATAATATATCCTTTTATTCATTTATCACCTCATGTGTAACTTTTTGAATATTTTTTATGGCATCGTTTTTTTCTTTTCATTACGTATTGCTTTGCTTTTTGATTGAATATATGTTTCGATTTGTTTTCTCGAATAGAAACTCACTTGCTTTTTAATTGAATTCAACGTTATTTACAGTTTGTCCCATTACTTGATGCAATTTTTGATGTTAAACCAAATGCATAAAGTACTATCTTGTTACAAAATTTCTTTATTTTTGAATAATTATTTAGTACTTTATTTATAGTTTTAATTATTAAGCATGTTCAAATTTTCTAATATTATCATAATAATATATTGGTGTTTTTATTTCTTTTTTTGTAATATTTTTTATTTATTTTGGTCATTTTTTATTTAACTGCTACCGCACCCGCTGGTTTACCAGTCATAAAACTCCCGCAAATGCACCCATTTTCAAACGCTAAACCAGTCGTTCAAAACGCTTGGTAACGCTTGAAGCCGCAACCGCCCGCTTCCGCAAACTCCCGCAACCGCAACCGCTGCGTTTAAACCAGTCAGGCCCTCAAAAACTACGGTCTGCGAAAATATGGAAAGATCCGAACTCAAGAATTCTCTCATCTGAATATTCTTTTTGCATTTAATCTTTAATGTTGTTTCCTTTTTTATTGAGAAATCTAATCAAAAATATTGAGGAAATCTCGTAATATATTAGATAATTTAATGTCATTATTTGTTTTTGCATAAAATTAAAGAAAGATCCGATTGAAGTAAATCTGGTGCAAAATAATAAAATCAACCCGACCCGCCAGTGATATTTCTTGTAAATACATCTCGATTCCAGGATTTATTTACTAAATGTACTCTAAAAATGTAAATATAGATTAAGTAATAATTTTGTGTTATCTTTTCTCAGGGTGAATCGTCAAAAACATGGAGACACTTTTACGTATATGGTAAGAATAAGATATATATTTGGGGAATTAAAAAGACGCTTATAATGAATGTTTGCACATAACTCTTTTTTTTTTGGCATCCACACAACACAAATGCATGGACTTTCTTCTGACTAGATAATAAGATCAAACAGAAGTCATAAATATGATGCAGATGGGGTTTTATCTCGATACAAGGCTCAGTTAGTAGCAAATGGCAAGACTCAAGCTGAAGGTATAGACTATGAGTCGATGATGAGAACTTTTCACCAGTTGTCAAGCCGGCAACAATAAGAACAGTTCTACATGTTGCTGTTTCGGGTAATTGGTGAACCAAGCAGCTCGATGTTAAGAATGTCTTCCTTCATGGCAATCTAAAAGAGACAATGGGGATGATCGGATTAAGCTTTTAAGACTTAAAAAAAAAAAAAAAAGTTTTAAAAGTCTATTTTCTCCAATCAAGCTTTTTTGGCTTTAAAATATTCTAAAGCCTTCAAAGTATTTTTTTATTTTTTACTCTTTGTTTTTAGTTTTATTTTTTAAAGTCACGTAAATGAGGCTTTAGAAATAAATAAATTAAAATCTTATAGTTTTTTTTCATTTCTTTTTCACATATACATGTAAACTCTCATAACATTCACAAATAAATTAATTTTTAAAATTTTTTAGTTTATTTACTATTAACTTTTTTTTCTTGTTATGTGAAGATCCACTTTCCTATATATTTGGTAATTATTTAAAATTGTAATTTTTACAGTCATAGTCTTTACCAATCGGTTATAAAATTTATACAGTCAAAGTCTTTAAAGCAAAAGTATCTACAGCAATAATTAAAAATCATTACCAATCGGCCCCAATATATATATACATGCACCAACCTCGAGGTTTTGTTGACAACCTCATCACGTCTGCAAGCTCAACAAGGCCATTTACGGGTTAAAGCAAGCTCCACCGGCGTGGAATGCACGTTTCACGACTTTCCTAACCAGCCTAGGATTTGTAACGAGCAAGTGTGATCCTTCTCTATTTGTTTACAAGAAAGGAACGTCCATTGCCTATGTTCTACTATACGTAGACGATATAATGCTTACAGGATCCAGCCAGCTTCTTCTTGACACTATCTCGAACTCGCTGAAACAAGAGTTTCCTATCAGTGAGACGGGACGACTACGGTATCTTCTCGGAGTGAAGGTTGAGTACAATGAGGCTGGTATGCTGTTGTCAAAAGCTCAATATGCTAAGGATATTATACAGCGAGCTGGTATGACTGATTGTAACCTCTAGCTATACCGGTTGATGTCAATTCCAAGTTGACTGCAGATATTGGTGACCCGATATCCAATCCAACCGAATATCGAAGCCTCGCAGATGCACTTCAATATCTGACATTCACAAGGCCAAACATTACCTATGCGGTTCAACAAGTTTGTTTGTTCATGCATGATCCTAGAGTCAAACATTTACAAGCCCTGAAGCTCATCATCAAGTACCTAGTGGAACTACGGTATACAAATTTTTTGTTCCAAACTGGGTAAGATCACGGCATATTCAGATGCAGACTGGGAAGGCTGTCCCGAAACAAGGCGATAGACTTCTGGGTATTGTATCTATCTTGGCGAGAACCTTGTTTCATGGTCATCAAAACGTCAACAAACAAAATCCCGATCAAGTGCAGAAGCCGAATACAAGGGTGTTGCAAACACAGTTGCTGAAACTTGCTGGATACGTAATATTCTTCTGGAGCTTCATATACCAATGCAAACAGCAAGTCAGCAACACTTGTCTTCTGCGACAACATCAGCTCAGTCTACATTTCCAACAATCCAGTATAACATCAACGAACGAAGCACGTCGAAATAGATCTTTATTTTGTACGAGATAAAGTAGCGCTTGGCCAAATAAAGGTTTTGCATGTCCTCTCAACACTACAATATGCAGTTATCTTTACAAAGGGGTTACCTACTTCCTTGTATAATTACTTTCGACATAGCCTCACGGTTCGTTCACCGACGTTGCAACTGAGGGAGGCTAAAAGAATATAATTCAAAATATTCTTCCTATCATCGATTCCGATATGATTCTTTTTACCTTTAGGACTGTTGTAAACGATATTCTCTTTATAAACGATGTAACCTGTATATGGATAATCAAAGGAAACAAATCCACTTTCACTATGGACTTGCCTAATCTTTTTTTTTTTTGTTCAAAAAAGATTAGGCCAATTCTATAGGTTTATATTAAACGGGTTAAGGGTTTAATCTAAGGGGGTGTTATTGGTTTGTGATTTAGATAGAGTTTTAGTGACTTCAAATGTTATGTAGAATCTGTTGTTCTTCAATCAAGATTTTTTAAAAATCTGTTAAAGTTTGGTGTTATTAGTTTAAGATTTGTAAAAAGTAATCTAAAATCTTTATAGATCTGAGTTATTGGATTCATACTTTTATAAAGTTAATCAAAGTTTTGTGTTATTCAACTAAAACAAAAGAATCTATGATTGTTAATGAATTCAATTATTATGTTATTGGTTTATGACTCTCTACACTTTTCTTCACAAAATAAAGTCATGAAAAGTATCATCAAAATAGAGAGATTGTTTGAGAAACTTTACAAGATTCTGAAAAACTAATCAACAAGATTATAGAAAACTCTCTAACAATAGTTTAGAATCGTTCATTTGTTTACTTTCTATGATTTTATTAAAGTCATCAAGATTCTTTGTATATTAGGAACCAATAACACCCCCAAAATCTATGAAATATCGATTGACCTTAAAGGTTTTGGAAATAGAATAGCAAGCAATAAATTTCTTAGGAAACGATTTGATTTATTTCCAAAAGTAAAATCATAGCATTAATATGTTAGTTTTTTGTTTACCATAATTTAAATAAAGAGCCAAATTCTACAAGCAATAACGAAATCATGTAAACTGCACACCGAATATGGATATCTTATTATATAAAATATGGTTTTCAAAGTTAATAACTCATAGGATCGTGCCACGTGTCAAATTTATCGAACTCAGATTTTGACACGTGTTAAACAAAATTTTCCTTTTATTTGTTTAAAAATATATATATATATATATATGTAAAGAAACTATATGCACATGTCAAATTTATCAATATAAAACAATTCTAAAAATCTAAAGAAGATAAATATATGAAAACTAAATGTATCTATATATACATTTTTGAAACACTTTTAGCAAAATAAATCCTGGACTTGGAACTTATTTACAATACAATGCCATTGACATTTTATGTTTTAACAAAAATTTTCTCAAATCTAAATATCAATCGATTTTGTTACTAAAATTTAGGAAACTAAAAGAAAAAAAATTACAAAAATCATTTAAATCTTTCCAAATCTAAACAAAATATACTACACACTAACAATCCTTTTAAGAGGATCAATTAACATTAATCACCCTGATTTTCGTTTTAAATCATTTATTTTCAGTTAATAAAAAGAATGAAATCTCATATTACAATATATGCTTTAAAATTTTCATAATAAATTAATTACGCCATAATTTTAAAAATTGAAACCCTAATTCTTTCCCAATCCCCTATAAATTAAAATCCATTTCTTAAGCTTTCCTTCATTAATCATTACGATAAATCGGCTCTCTACAGTCCTAATTCTTCATTAAAAAAAAAAATTGTTTTAGTTTTATGTTTTTTTTATTTTTTCATATGTTTGATTATGTTTCTTGCCAATCATGTTTGTTCAATACAATATCACTCTTCTTGAAAAGATCGAAATTGATTTTATTTTATTTTGAATCACTTTTTGGAGAGTATGATCTTCCTCTTATAGTAGTTCATATGTAGAAGCCATCCATCACAATTTTTTTTTTTTAAAAACACTCCCTAAAACTTTCTTTTCTGATTTTTTTATTTTGGCGTTCTAATTTTGTTTACTTCGAGGGATTTGACTAGCATGTCATCGATGTAAACTTCCATCGTTTTTCCGAGCTGCTCGGAAAACATCTTGTTGACGAGCCGTTGGTATGTCGTGTCGGCGTTTTTGAGTCCGAAGGGCATGACTTTGTAGCAATAAATGCCTCGATCCGTGATGAATGCTGTCTTTTCGCGGTCGTCGGTGTAGTGACCCGGTCTCGGGCATAAAATTATCCGGACGGATCGCGTCCTGAACCAAGTGTCGGAGTCGAGCAAAGTTGAAAGTCTCTTGTGTTCGAAGATCCTGAGGAGTTTGAGGATATCGTCGAGACGAGTGTGGAGTCTGACGAAGTGGTGCCTCTAGTGGATTTGGGAGGAAACCTTGGAAGTGTTCCGGTCTCGAATTTTGTGGTACTTTCTGACGATTCTATGGAGGATTTTTCGGACGAGTTTGAGGAGCCTGAGAAGCAGGTGGCGACTGGTTTTCTTTTCGGAGATAGTGGGATTGATGAGCCGATGTGGAAAGGCCCTGATGGAGTTTTGTATGAGTTCAATTCGGATGATTCGTGGCAGCCAGGAGTTCACACAAATCCGTACTATTATCCTCCGTCGTCGGACAGCTTGTCGACGATGGATTCGTTCAGCTCAATGTCCTTGGGACAGACTTGGGTGTTTCTGATGCACCTTCGGAAGGTAATGCCTCGTGTGATTTTGACTCCTTGGTGTTTTTGCCGACGGAATATGGGATTCCAAGGCAAGCTTTAGCTTACAACATGGTGCCACCGAGTGAAGTGTTCGCTACACCGCCTGGTCCGCCATCTCCAGTTTTTGTTGAGCTATCGTCGGATGATGAGTTAGCTGATGTTGAAGAATCGGGAATTCCTAACTTCATGAAGGCTGAATCACTTAGGATGTCTACTCCGCCAAGAAAGTTTGCGACCCGAACTTGGTATCCTGGTTATTATGGTGAAGAAGGTGTTGAGTCGTCCCATGCGAATCTTGAGAACCTTGTCGGCGATCAAGTAGTGCCGGATGTAACGGCTAATTGCGAGACTTTGTTCACTACTCCTGTAACGTCCGCGTCCCGCGATCCTAAAGGGGGCCGGTTTGTTTTAGGGAAAACTAGATCATGGTCGAGAAAGACTAATGAATAAGTTAACCCAAGGAAGGAATGAAACGTTTAAGTCATGAAAAGGGTAGATGACTTAGACGGTTTCGGGATAATCTAGTGATCATGGAGAAATGATCATGGAAAGATTGGGAATGGCGTAGTCAAGGCCGAGAAAACGGACCGAAAGACTTAGCCGAAAAGAACGGACGAAAGTGTCCGAGCTAATCTAGCTAGGTGAGCTGGACAAGATGGATGAACTAGCTAGCTCAGCTAGGTGAGCTAAACCAGCTGGAGAACTAGCTAGCTCAGCTAGGTGAGCTAAACCAGCTGGAGGACTAGCTAGCTCAGCTAGGTGAGCTGACCGGCAGCTCAACCGAGCTCGGTGAACTGATCGAGTACTGACCCAGCTGGGTGGTCCGGTCAGCTGACACTCGAGCTGGTGGACTGTGGTAGCTCGGGATGAAGAGGTGTAAGGTCGAGCGGTTACCTACGAACGGTTACCGTTGGCCAAAGGGTGGATAAGGCCGAACGGTTACGATCGGAAAGACGCAATCTTTCGGAAGGGTGCAACGAACGGATGTGATGTTTCGGAAACACACCCATTCGCCCCCTATATAAGGGAGGACGCCCAAGGCATTCAGAATCACCATTCATACACTTCACAATCACCAACACAATCCGAAAATGGTCCTCAACACACCACGAAGTTGTTGGACGGAAAGGGGGTGCGGCTCGGCGAGTATCTCTGGAATCGGAACGGATTCTCGGAGCCTCGACCGAACTGATGCGCATGCTACCTCCCGATCCAACGGTTCGATGGAATGTAAAGGACGGTTGGATGGATCGGACCGAACGTCGGAGAGACAGGACGGATCGGGTAAGATGGTCGGGTCGACCGAATGATCGGATCGTGGTATCGATCGATGGATCGGATCGATGGAACGACAATTCGATCAAGGAGTTGGATGGACGGAGAGTTCGACGAATTGATTGATGGCTCGGATCGATAGCTCGATTATGGGATCGATGGATCGTCCGTTCTATGAATCATATCGTCGAGGGAAGGGCACGAAAGGAAATGGATCGGAAAATCTCAGATTGTCGATACAGAAGTATTGACGTATCCAAAGATAGACCGATAGATGATATGGTTAACGGGAAGTTGATCGGGAAGGCGTATAAGGGAAAGGTGTTCGAGGAAGCACGAGGATAAGTGCAACCGAACACACCCAAGGGTCGCCCATGGATGCAATCTCACCGAGAAAGGGAGAAAGCACCGTGAATGGGTAAGGCACGTGGTTCTCCATGTAAGGATCAAATATCGCGGCGGCCTTATGAATCAAACGTCGCAGCCTTGGTGAAACCGATCGGAAATCGGTAAGACCAATGGTGACTCGACGGATAACCAACGGGAAAGTCCACGGTGAGAACCGATGGACAAAACGGATGTTGGACCCGCGAGCAAACCAATGGCCGACGGACGAATGATTTCATGGGCTAGCCTACGATAATCCGATGGATGAATCCACGGACCCTTGGGTGTGATAATGATATCGTTCGGATCACATGGATGGATCGATAAGCTGAAGGCTTTACCGACCACCATGGATCGGACGGGTAAACGGTTAGTAAACCGTGGGCGGTCGTAGTGATAAACGACCGGATCGGAAACATGGATGGTTCGATAAGCCGAGGGCTTAATCGTTCACCATGAAACCGAAGGGGCGTTCGTTTGGAGGACGGATGGACCAATGAGCCAAGAGCTTGATTCGGCCACCGTGAACCAAGAGAAACGTACGATCCCCAATCTCTATCGTGGGACTTAGACCAGTGGGGTTGGTTGGATGTATGGCTAAGTAACGATAGAGATTGGTCCATCAATACACGATTAGTTAAGAATCGTTGTACGAATGGAATAAGGCAACAAAAAGGGCTAAGGGAAGGATCAATGGACGGATCGAAGAGGAATCGCATCCGCATGTTGGCCAAGGTATGTAAACAAATCTAACTTATTAGTTAAGCTAGACGTTTGGGAATTGGCCGTTGGATTAAGGATAAAAGAATATGCAATCGTTAGACTTAGAATGGATAGCGAACAAATTGCATGACTTGGCCGAGTTAATGATTGATCTAAAGTCTAAGGGATAAAGATGAACAAACCGGTACAAGGGTTGGTTGGAATTAAACCAAGGGTAGAAAGACTTCCGCTGGGTACTAAGAAAGCGATTATAGAATTAAGCCTCGTAAAGGCAATTCTATGTTAAATCGCGAAAAATATGGAGGTTCGGCCGGGAAGAGGCACGAACGAGCGTCAATGGTCGACGGACGCCGAGACGTCCGGGACGGGACGCTACAACTCCTCCGCGTGTTGAAGAACTTGAAGTCTTTATGCATGTTTGATTGATTATGGTACTGAATCATGTCCGCGATCCTCGTGATCCGTACATAAATGATTCTGTATTCTTAGTATGCGGTACTAGTGACTTAATGTCCGGTGCCTTAAGCATATTAAGATTAGGGGTATGTCTGTCCTTTCTTGGCGGCATGTCATGTAAGTCTTGATCCTCAGCTGGTCACTTACACAAAATGACATAAGACTCGATACCTAGGCCGGGTAATGCATGGCAATGCATGTCTCTTGTTGATATCCTTTATAGGTTCAACTTGAGAGTTTTAAGTGATGTTCCGGTTATATGCCTTTAATGGTTATAGCTCGGGTGTTCACAGGAATGGAAGGCAGCATATCAGGGCCCATAGGAGTTGTCTAGATAGTTGGTGTCGCATGCATAATTTTATTATCTTATTACACGGACTTGTTCCGTGTAAGCATGCTTAGGTGTTTGTTTGTTTGTTTGTTTGTTTGTTTGTTTGCTTCCGTGTGCATTCTCTGATATATTTTAATATATCGCTTATGTTTGATGTTGTTGTTGTTGGGATGGGTTAAGCTAATGATTGTTGCAGGGAATCCGAGCTCACTAAGTATTCTTAGATTACTTATGACTCCAGTTTGTTTTGCAGGAAACCTTAGTGGGAACCATTAGAGGGATGCTGAGGACGTAGGAAAGCCGGTATAGAGTTGTTGCTTTTGCAAAACTTAGTGAGTTTTGTTGTTGTGTCGATTTGAGCATGTTGGCTCACGGCACCATTTGTAATTGATGTTTTGGATTATTGTTGTATGAACGTTATATGATATAAAAGGAGTAGTTTCTTTTTCTGTGTGTTTTTCACCCGATATTAGTCTTGTCCGGACTAACACAACTCGCGATCACGGTAAGGGTTGAAAAGCCTAAACCGCGGTCGTGAGGGACGGTTTGCGCGGATGGTCCGGCTAAGGGTCCGAATTCGTTTGGAACCTCTGTTGGAACGTCTGTGTGAGCTGTCTTACGTGACGTCTCCGGGTCGCCCGTGGCTTGTTCGATCATAGAGCGGTCCGGGGGCGTTACATGCCTCGGGGTCGGAATTACTTGCGACATATCAATATTCATCTGTCGAAGTGTTTCGCGGAATATTACGTCAATGGTGCTGCCGGTGTCAATTAGTACTCGTGATACGTCGTGGTCTCCTACGGCTAATGTGACCACGAGGGGATCGTTGTGGGGTATGTCGAGTCCGTTCGTCTCACTTTCCTCGAATGTGACTGTGTCGTTGGGTCGGTCAAGTGGTCTTGACCAGTTGCTAGGTGCTTCGGCTCGTCGCTGATATGTTTTGATTGCGGCTACGGTATCAGGGCAGTATGGTGAACCACCCATTATGGTGAGGATTTTTTGTCGTGTGACATCCCGGTCCTTGTCTCGATTTTCTCGGGTTCTCTTCGGGACTTTGGTATTCCTTGGCTTGGGATCCCTAACTGTGTTGGTCTGCTCGGGCTAAACTGGCTCTGTCTCCAAATCTTTGAGCGTGACGTTCGTCCCGAGCTCTCCCGCCAGGAATTTGGTTGCTAACTTCGCTCCGAGGCTTCGACATCGCGGGGTGTGGTGCCCAAAAATTTTATGATGTTCGCAGTATTCTTGATCGTTACTTGGTGGTTGGTCTCTCGTCCAAGTGAACGAATCTCTGCCTCGTCCTCGACCTCGGCCTCGAGGCGCATCAATCTGATAGTTATGTCCTCCCGAGAAATGGCGTCCTTCGTGATATGTGTACGTCCCGCTCTGGTTTGCCTTCTTCTGGACCGGTGGTGCTGTTTGAGTCTTCTCGGCTCGGGAAGCTTGTTTCGTCGGCTCGTGTCTCTCTGCTAGTAACTCCATCTCTTCTTCGTGGGCGACGAAATCCAAGGCTCGGTGCAGCGCATCGCGAATCGTGGTTGGTTTGGACAGGTTAAGCTCTTTTCTGAATTCTGACTTGTACCAGAGTGCTTTCCTCAGGGCCGAAAGAGCGGCTACATCGGTGACTCCCTCGACCTTGGCTAGCGTTGATTTGAAGGTTGCGAAAAAATCCCTTAATGGCTCGTTAGGTTGTTGAGACAGCGACCATAGGTCTGCGTCGGATGTTCCGGGATCGATGAGCACTGAGTACTGCTTGAGGAAGAGCGTTGACAGTTCGTCGAAACTATCGACCGAGTTTTGCTCCAATCTAGAGAACCAGTCCAGCGCGGCTCCTTTGAGATGCTCCACAAATAACAAACACAGGCCAGTGTCCTTTTCTCCAGGTTTGAATTTGGCTCGGGCCACAGATATCATGAACGACTTAATGTGCCCCTTTGGGTCGGTCGTCCCGTTGAAGTAGTCGATCTTGAGCTTTCCCGTGTCGGAGATCATTGCTTCGGAAATTCTTCTAGTGAAAGGTGTGTTGCGAGATTCTTCCAAGATTCGGTCGATGTTTGGTGCCGAGGAGGACACGCTGTGCATCTGGGATTTGACGAGCTTCATATCGGCTTCGGCTTTGGCTAGGGAGGCTCTGATTTCGCCGAGCTCGCGCTCTCTCTCGGACTCTTCGGCCCATCTTATGTTCTCCTCGGTTTCCTCGTCATCGGTAATATCAGTCTGCTCGACAAAGTTTACTCCAGCTCGGGGACACTCACCTTGCGGATCACCCAGATCGTTTGTTTGGTCTGCCGTGTTTGGCTTGGCGGGATCATCCTGATTCTCATGTCGGGCGGGGTCAGCTCGGGTTATGGCTCTGGTGTTGTCGGTCGGCGTTGCGAATACGAGTCTTGTCGGGTTGATGCCGGGCAAGTCTCTTCGGGCTCGTAGGGGCCGAGTTTGAAAGCGGGTGGTTCGAGGTTGCACATGGGAGGTGACCGCTTCGATCTGTTGCGCCATGGTTTGGTTAACTTTCTCTTGATCGTCAGCCTTCTGCTTGAGTTGGATCATGTCCCTCAACTCAGCTAGGGTTGCTGAGATTGCTGTTTGAGGATCTTGAGGGTTTGGAGGAATCAGGTTACCTCCGACTGGTGGAATCTGGCGATCGTCCTCAGTCATCGTCTTCTTTGGTACGTTCTGCGTTCTTGGAGTAAGAGAATTCTAAAGTAATCCCCACAGACGGCGCCAAACTGTGGAAGTCGAAACTAACACAATCAAGATTTGTCTAGGGTTTTATTTTAGAGACACGATTCACGAGAATTCTCAAAGAACAACATAACGAATTGCAACCAAAGATGGTGTTCTCGATATTATTGAATAAAAAGGTAGCTTTGATCGTACAATGAGTTAGATCGTAAAAAGAAAAGTGTTTTTGCTTCAGAGCTTTGTGTAGTCTAGAATCTGGAGCGTTATTGCTTCCTTTTTCTTTGAGAGCCTTGAGTCTCTTTATATAGGGATGGTTAACCGCCTCTTCAGCGATATTCTCGGAAGATTTCCACTTATCTTGAAGTCGGCTTAGAATATCGCAGATTAGGATACTTTCCTTATTTTTCGGAGTCTCCGGAAGTTTTCCTGATTTGAGTTGATCCTTCAAGATTCTTCTTTATCATTTCCGAGTATTTCAGAAATGATCCTTCTCTTTCAGAAATGATGCCTTGCTTAGAATTGATACTTTGAAGGTGAATATTTGCTAAGTCCTTGCCTCGGGTAACTTGATGTACTTGGTTCAAGTGGCCTAACGAGTGCCTCGGGTGACTGACGACTTTTCCTCGGGTAGCTAGGAGATTGCCTGTCGTATCCGGCTCGGGCTAGGATAACGTTGATGGGCTCGGGTACTCGAGATGGTTAGTTTGGGTACACCGAAGTAATGGGCTCAGGTACCCGAGATGACCGGTTCGGGTACCCCCGAGGTAATGGGCTCGGGTACCCAAGATGATCGGTTTGGGTACTCCGAGGTGACTGTCAGGGTACCCCGAGCCAACTGGCAGGGGAGGGTACCCGAGCCAATGGGCAGGATACCTGAACCGACTGACGGGATACCCGAGCTGTCGGGCAGGGTACCCCGAGCCGCTGAACAGGGTATCCCGAGCTGATTTGGCGAGGTACCCCGAGCTGAAATATGAAGATGACCCGAGGTGTAACGTTTGGCTCGGGCTCAAGGCTGGGTGAAACCCGACCCCAACAATATTCTGAGTTTTGCGAGTGCAAGCGAGCGTCTCCCTGAAGCTATCAATCTGGTTCTAAGTTCTGCGAGCGAGCTTCTTAAAAGATTCACGCATAAGAAATGTCTGTTAGAGCTGAAGAAATAGAGAGAGAAAAAGGTAGTGACTAACAAGTAAGTACCGGACTTCAAATCCATTTTAGTTTTCTTTGGCGTCCGGCGGTTAGAATTTTGAGTTTCGTAACTCAAAACACGAATTGTTTTTCAAATATTATGCTTCTCGCATCCGCACATCCGCACATATCAAATTAATGGGCCAAAGCCCAACTATCGTCCGCGTTTTTTTTTTGCTTAGCTGGCATCAGCTCCTCTGTACTGGGACCCATACCTCCATGCTGGCTAGGGCTGTCAAAATGGATTGAAATTGATGGATCAATACAAACCAATCCAATCCATGGATCTAATGGATGAAAAATTTGGATCTTAATGGATTAATGGATTAAATGGATTAATGAGTTTAATGAATTGTATTGAAATGATTTTGACTAGAATGGATTAGTGGTTACTCATAATCAAACCAATAGAAATTATACATTTTAAATCAAATGTGTAAACCAAATCTAACCGAATTAAATATCTAAACCGATTTGATAAACCAAAACAAAACCTAAATTTCTCGTAACTCTCTCACCATCACCGATCTCTCTCTTTCTCAGCCTCACAGCTCTCACCATCATCGATCTCTCACCACCATCAATCTCTCTCATGAGCTGAGTTATAGAAGAAATTAGTAGTTGTTCCTTGTAGTGGATCACATTAGCAGACAATCCGGATTGTTCTTGTATGTTAGGAGAGTCTCTATTGTTTACAATGATAATTGTTTGATAGATTGATCATGATATGCTAAGCTAATTTTGGTGGATCTATTAACCACTGTAGCTTCTGAATCTTCTTTTAGTATTGGATCTCATTTGATCAACAAAAAGGTTCTGTGAATTTAACTACTCTATACCGAAAATAGTATTTTTTAAAAAGGTTTTGTGAATTTGACTACTCTAAACGTATTTTCTTTCACAATTGTTTATTTCTCTCTAGGTGATAATGAACTTATTGGCTTCGTTTTGGTTTGGGAGTGTTTATTAGTACTGATTGAGAAATGTTAACATTGTTTTTGCTTTTTGCAGTCTCGCTGCTCTGTGTTGTTGCTGTCTCCTAGATGCTTGCTTCTGATTGAAGTCTCTCTCTCTACATAAAGCTGCAGGATTTATTGTAAAATGGTTTTGGTTAAACAAAAACCTTAATTGATTTGTGGGCATTTAAAAATGAATCTCTTTCATTTAAAAATTTATATGGATATTGATTGGATTGGTTTGGTTTAACTAACTAGACACCCCTAATGCTGGCATATTTGACCAACACATGTTAATATTGTTGACTTTAACTAAATAAGTAAACATTAAAGAGAACAAGAAAAACAAAAGATTAAATATAATGTTTTTGGTTGCATATGCCCGAGAATGAATCATGTTCGTGTATCATATCTATATGGTATCAATATCATGTGTGTATGTATGTATATTCATAAAAAAAATATATATATATATATATATATATATATATATATATATATATATATATATATATATGTATAATTCATGCATGTACGCAGAGTTTAAACTATAATTAAAATGATGTAAAAATTTCTAAACCAATTAAAATGACGATGTGATTTCTTTTGTCAAGTCGTTTGTTTCTACGTAATATTGATTCGTTTTATTAAGTGTAGTGACTATTTCGTAAACGTCATCCATATGTTTTTTTAATTTCTTGACTGTTATAGACTAATAAAAATCTAGGTGACCAAAATAAACTAAGCAAGGTTGATAAAACTCCAAAAAGTAATAATTTGTTGGGAGCTATCGCAACCGGAATTAAAGTGTCTAGACTAAACATTGGAATTATTTGCTATATTTAAAGAAGAGATTTTGCGTTTGTGAGTTTGCCATAATAAGTATTTTTGAAGAGTGGCTTATTCGAAACTAAACAAAAGTTCATTCACACTATTCATTCAATATAAACGCAATTTTTCTTAGTTTTGAATCAATATATGGCTATTAATATTACACAAATTCATTCAAAATCGAATGTCTATATTACATATGTTTAATTAATTAATTAAGGGTACGATTTCTGTAGTTGATATTAATGTATTATCAATGTGCTCAAACACAATTTAATCATTTGAATATGTAAGTGGTCGTTATTTTTGAGATAGTAGAATCGCTAACCTCATAGAGTTTGCATGGTGTAAATGTTTGTTCAAGTATGTAGAATATTCCTCATGTGGATGAAAGTCAGTGACTGAATGTCACTATGTACAAAAAATCGTTGTAGATACAACTTTGGTTCTTGTAGATGTTTTATATGCAAATATACCATTTTCATATATTTTAAGAATAATTAGTGTTTTGGGATTGACTCATGATCTATTCTGGTACTAAAAACAATATATATTAAAAAATAATAATAAAAAATTCACATATTAAAGTGTTAGTGGATATGTGAATTGATTAAGAGTTCAAAAGAGTCATTCTTGCGGAATGTTGTTTACATACGTGATATGAAGCGGTTTTGTACGAATTTGTTATCTGAAATTGATTAAGAGCTCAAAAGAGTCATTCTTGCGGAATGTTGTTTACATACATGATATGAAGCGGTTTTGTACGAATTTTTCGTGCCAGATTATCCGCTTTTATAGTAGCATTACAGTTGGGCTTTCAAAAGAGTAATTTGTGCACCACTTGTTCGGCGGATCCAGAAAAAGAATTAGTATGAGGTAAATTTTAAGTATTTGGTATATTTTAAAATTGCATGACTTTTTAGAAAATATAATTTTCATTGATTTTTATATCTTTATCTATGCAAATGTTTAAAAATTATATTAGTTTTATATATCACAATAAATTTAGATTCTAAAATATTACATCAAAAGATATAATAAAAACTGAAATAATATAACTTACTTAAATTACTACATATTATTTTTATTAATATATTAAAATATAATGATCTACTTTTAGCGATTTAAAATTAATTTGGTTAAAACTGAAACCAATGAAAAAAATATGAAAGAAACGTAAAGAGATGTCAACATGTTAAATATGTATATAATATAAGAAATAAAAAGAAAGGTAATAATATAAAGATGTCAACCAAAAGTAAATGTGAGATGGGAGATTCGAACTCGTCACTCTCAACGTATATAGACAACACCAATAACCAGTTGACCTGACAAATAAATGCATGTATAAAGTAAATATGGAATTATTTTAAAGTAGTATGGGGCACGTGCCCCACCCTTTGCCTACGTACATCCGCCACTTCTTCCAAAAATCTATTTATGTTTTGTGGTTTTGTTTAGTTTTGTGTCTTAAAATTATTATAGTTAAGACATTAGGCTCTAAGTAATGACACAATTATCAATTAAGACGATATATATATATATCCAAATACGAAGTTAGTGACAACGTATGATTGTATGAAGCAGAAAGTTACGTAAGTATTAACACAGTGATTAAGTAATAATAAGATGGACATATAAATAAACATAAAAAAAAAATTTGAGTGTAAATATTTTTGACTTAGTGACTTGGGTATACGATATAGGTGATTAATGCTAGATTATTTCATGGGTTTTTTCAACCCAAATCTACGATTTATTGAGCATTCCCATCATTTGTTGACAATTAAAACGCTGTTGTTTTATAACCTTTTAGACTTCGACCAGTCAAAGCGATCAAGTGATAATGTTGAATTAATGTACGATCGGTTTTCAAAAATTATTTTTATATTTCATTATAACTATTTCTCTTCGCACACAGTGCGGGTAAATCGCCTACTTTGGTACTTTTTGGTAATACTTACTAAAAAATGTTTCTCTTTAAAATGTACTAAACATGGTTCTGGAAATATATCACTTGAATATCGTCTTTTTCACTTATGATAAGTATGCATAAATATACTTTTTTAATTATTTTTTATTTGTAGACTAACAATAGTTTTTTACGTTAATGTTCACATTGGTTGATGTATTTATTTAGGCAAGAGAGCTCAAGAGAATGGTTTAGACACTAGAGTGAATATGATGAAGCATCAAAACTTGTTTAGAAAACAAAGTTCTTGAAAGAAAAAAAAAAGAATATAGGAAACAAGAGAGTAGCTTTTGTAATCATCTTTAGACAGGTATGTAACATGTAAAATTATTCTTTAAATGATTATTCATTCTAAGGACCAAAATATGAGCGAGTGCAAAAAATAAATAGTTTTCCATAACAATATAAGATAAAAAAATATAATAACAATAAGAGATAGATTAAAAAAGGAAAAAAAATCATTCACATTTTAAGAAAAAGTAAATATTTTTCTTTATGACATTGGTCCACATTTTTACATTGAGATTTATTTTAGTTTGACCATTTTTTAAATTATTGCATTAAAATAAAAGTATCTAATGGCAATAAATATTCACATTTAATAATTAAGAGTAACCAAAAAACAAAAAAATCCAACCAAAATTATAATTATCATTCAATTCGTGTAGTTTGTATAGAAACAAATAGTTTTAGAGGGATTTTGCTTTTGTTCTGTTGATTAAGTTAAGTTCTTGATTTTTTGTTGATCATTGGTATATAATATATTTTGGGGGTAGAAGAAAGAGGTCATACATGTTTAATTCATGGTAAATCTCTTAATGATCTATCCATAAATCTTTTCTTTTCAAATATGAAGTTGTTTTCATAAGTTTTCCATGGATTTTCGCGCGCAAACTGTCTATTCGAGATTAGTTATTTTAACGAATTCTGGCGCAAAACCGTCTAATCAATTATACCTTGTTTTGTTGTAGTTTTCTCGAATATATATAGTTAGTGTTATTCTTTCAATTGTTTTTTATTTTTATATATTTTGAATTCTTTGTGTTTCAGTTTTAAAATCATCATTTTCTTTGAATCTAGATGAAACTTTTCTAAAAAACTGAATTTGTCTTGATAAGTTTTTAGTTTCTTGTATTTCAACAAATTTTGGCCTTCAAATTATATATACTTTTAATTATGCTACAAGTTTTAGAGCCTAAAATAGATTAAAATTTTCAACAAACTTTCGCGCCCATATATTGTTACTTTTTTTTTTTTGATGCGGCATGCATATCTTTTAATAATTTTCATGGATTATTTTTTAAGCAAGCATATACTTTAGAAGAACATATCGTTGGATCTTAGTGAACATTGGTTGTTAATCCATCTATTTGAATATTTCTTTATGTTGATTTGAAATTTTTTTCTTCATTGAAATTTATAGATACCATCTATTCAAATATATTTTTACATTAATTTTCATTTGCTGTCTACATTGAGATTTGTGGATAAACCATTGAGGTTTTAACTTGGACAAAAAACTTGCTCAAAATCTGTTTCAGCATTGTTCAAGAGTTTAAGATAATATATGGAAATTTGTTGAGTAATTTTTGCTTTGTTACAATATTGTTTAATTTGTTACTATAATTAATATTATTTTATATCTTGCAGAGTATAAACTAAGAGATACAAAAAGACTTTATAGTAATATTTTACGAAGAATTGATGCAAATCGACGGACCCAGAGCGAAAAGCATCATAAAGGCAAAGAAGATGTTAGATAATACATTGAACAATCAACCTACATATTTCCCTTACAATGCTTATGTCTTGCTTGTTTAAACGGCAAATCTCGGTTAGTTTTTTTAATAAAATTTGCTTTATAATATGGATTGAATTTATCTTAAGCTAGTAAAAAACATATGTATAACAACAGTCTAGCTCGTTGTTAATTCGTCGTAATTAGAATTTACATTTACATCAACATAACGACGAAAATTAATTCGTCGTAAATTGATCAAAGTAAATCTCCATTTGAGGTAAATATATTATATCATTGTAAAGTAGTTAAATTTATCGTTAATTTTTTTATAAAACATTTCTTAATAAACCGATGATAAAATTTTCCAACAAAATAACAATAGTACTAATTTGGTCATTAAAATAATGGTTATTTATCTCTAGTTTTTGTCAAAATAACCTCGAAATTGAGATTATAATTGAGGTTTTAGGATTTAAATTTTACAACGTTAGTTCGTCGTAAATATTAGGTCTATACGAAAAAAGATGGAGTTTGAGTTTGAGTTTGTTTAGGACCTAGAATCATGATTAGGGTTTTATAACATATTTTCTCTGTTGTCGTGAAAGCGTCATTTTCCTTCATTATTTTCATGTCA